TGGCTAAGGCTTAGTTCCAGTTAACTCTTGTGTAAAGAGTGGAACTTGTGTTAGGTTTCTGTCTAGAATTTTTTGTAGAGTAATAATGTGGATTACAGATTTTATACAAAAAAATTTATTGATTATTTTGATTTATTCAAAATGGAACATAGAATATAATATCATGATGTAATATATATTTTTTATGCTTAATCATAATTAGAATACCTAGCTAACCAATCAAATGTTAAACAAAAAGCAATATTGATAATCAATAATGCTTAAAAATTAATAATTGATGAGTTTAACCTAAAAAAATATTCAAGAAGATAATGACTAGCTTTTTTCTAATGTGATATCAAATCAAAATATCAAATTTCTTTTTGAAAAACAGAATGACAAGTTTTTTCGTCCAATAATGTTAATATTTTATACTCTATAAAAATTTCACTTTTTAATCTACTTCGATCATGAAAAATATTACTCAATATTTGGTTTGTAAAACAAATACAAGAGTTAAAATTTCAAAATGTGAAGTTTGTGTGACAATCATCACAATGCATCTTAAATGTGGATGCATGGCCTACGCTTTTGGATTGCACATATGATTTAAAACTTCAAAGATTTAGAAGAGAGCAAAACTTTGAATTAACAAAAATAACAAAAAAAATATCAAATAGAATGACAAGAAGGATGAAAAGATTAAGCCATAAATGTATGAAATTGACGATGTAATATGAAACTAATACTAACCTCATAATGGTCAAATTTTCATATTGTATCCAAGGTATCATAAGTATTCAAATCAAATTGTTTACACATACATTAGTATTCAAAGCAGCGTGCATCCATAATTGCATCGTAAACTAGTAAATCCAACTAGTAAATTTTAAACAACAATTTGATTTATATGAAATACAGATTAAGCTCAAGGTAATGAACAACTTTCAATCTTTTATTGTAGGATGTGACACAACTTATCATGAATGTGACCATATCTCTAAAGCTCTAAAGAGATGCCTATGTGAAAACCTCTGATATGAGAATTGTGGTTGCATATTCTCCACTTACCACCCATAGGAAGGATGTGCGAAGCTAATATCAAAACAATGTAACGGGATGTGTGAGAGAGCTGAGTGCTAGACACGGCACATCGTCATGATGTCGCCTCATCCTTTGGAGTGGAATCGATTGAGCATCCAGTACACCTTCAGCTTCCTTAAAGGGCGTGGAGGATGTGCCATTGGCAGTTTCCCGACGGGAAATAAGTGAAACCGCCGAACGTCGCCCATTAAACCCATTAAACTGGTGGACCTTCGAGTTCACCAGTCCAGGGCCGTGCGTCTCGCGGTCCTCGGCTCTGCCCGAGGGCACCCAACGGACCTCCCCTCTCACTGGCTTTCGGTGTCCACGTCATACTCTGCTAAGTCGAGAGACCTGGTTACGGTCTTCTATGCCCCCTCTCCTCCTTCATAAGATAGCTGGTCAATATTTTCCCATCCGAAAGAGAAGAAGAGGTTGCAGCATGAGCTCGAGCTCGAGCTCGAGCTCGATCCATTGATGTGATGCACACTTCAGCTCAGTACAGAAGGTTGCATCTGGATGGATGGCTCTGACTCTTTCACCAAGTCGCTTGACCAGAACTGTCACTGTCTTGTTTCATCCCATCGCCAAGTGTCAAGTATACGTTAGATGTAATCTGAGATTGTAGATCAAATGCATATTTGGGGCGACTGTCTTTCACCATCGTACTCTCGCACGGCAGACGGCAGTGAGAATGGAGGCGTTACTGTACAGGAGTATCTCCAAGCTGTTCGAAGCTGGTTTCTGTAGAAGCCAGTTGGTGCATTTTAGGGGCCATGGATTCCGTGGCTCCTCAGTTTCCATTGGGCGTCTCCCCAGTTCGGTGCAATTAATGCTACGAAGGTCCACAGCATTTCACCGACACAGGTCTTCCTACACAGTTCCAAGGGTACCGCCAGCTTGTGGATGAGCCATGTTCATACCCTTCGGAAACGTGTCATTTCGTGACCAAGCTATCCAGCTGCCCATCATTGACAAACCACAAGGTTACAGGAATCTGGGCAGTTGTAACATACAATCTTGCTTTTGAGACTTCCTTCTTCTGTAGAGTGTCTCCGTCCCAAGTAAGGAAGGTCCAGTGATGGAGATCTGTGAGTGTTGTACTCGGTGAAGCATATTCTGTGATCGTTGTATTATGCCCTTGATAGGCATGGGCAATAATAGCCTTGTGTTTGGGTTGTACATATATTCAGACGAGAACTCGAGTTTAGGTGCATTGCGAATGGTAAAAGTGAAAGTTGGTGGCTTCTTTGTCGCCAGCAGTGCCCAAATCAGATGCAACCTCTACCTGTAGACTGAAATGATAGACCACCCTTTGGTTATTTCACCATAATATTATTGGCTTGTGATTGGAAATGGCCAATGACACGACTGTGACAACATGTGCTCCTATTTGTTTCCCAGCGTTGTATCAGAAGTTTACATTCATGGTAAGAAACAGGATGGCAAGACCAACAGGGGAGTTGTAAATGCCGTCTGACTGAATCTTGACCGAGGGTCACAAGGCGGATGGGTCTATGAAATAAGTCCGAAGGTAGGAGGTCATCTGCATCACTCCTATCTACTCCTGCACTTGCACAGAAGGTGGACCTTCTTTATGAGTTTCTGAAATCCGTACGGCAGATACTTTGCTGCTCTGCGCACTTCTTTTCTTCTGCTCACCATTCGGATTTCAGATTGATGGAAGCAGGAGACCATTCACAGGCACAATGTTCTTATGGTCGTCATCTGAGACACGTTTCGTTTCTTCCGAGCTCCCACTGAGTCAGCCTTGATGTCTTTCAGCTCGGTCTGAGAAGTCCGACTCAGAAAGCAATCAATATGCAGAATCAAACTTTCTTATCCCGATTGGCTCTGAGCATGCTCAGGACATGCCTTCTTCATTTGATCACCAGCACTCACAAGTCATCATTATCACTATGGTTCAATTTAAAAAACAGGATGTTGACAGCAGCTTAGTGAAATAACGTGCTCGAAGATTTTTAAGAATGAAGTTAACTTGTGTGCACTGTATTCGCTAGAAATTGTGCATCGAGATTTACAAATCTTGCAAGTCCTCCAAACTCCTCAAGTGTATTACAGAATATTGGTTTCGAATCGTAAAGTTTAATTTGGAGTATCTTTGGAAGAAAAGTTCATTCGATTTGTATCATGTATTTAGCGACAGTGAGCATATTTTTATTACTTTTATTTTAGAGCGTAATGGTGTGAGGGTACGAATCCTCGTGATGCAAGTGTGATTTCGTTACTACATCAGGAGCTCAGCATGCTCGTCGCCAAGGGCAGCGTGCGTTTCAGACCTGTTAGATAGAAGTTCCTCGTGCGTCGATAAATCCGCATGCACGCTGTATCCAGCAGATGTTTGGTAGCTTGACTGCTCAGTTGTAAACCTTGGAGAAAAAAAGATCCTCGAGCTACCGAACAGATTGTCAAAAGACCGATTGCCCTTCTCCTCCGTCCATTTCGAGTCGTATTCTTTCCCAATATTTCCAACATCTGACCACGTGCTCAGATCAGGATCAGTTGACTCCAAATTCCATTCACGAATATGTACACGAATTGCCATTTAGCAAAGCGACTAACTAGGCGGATTTTTTTACCCAACTGCAGTTGTTATCGTGATGAAAGAGATGACTTAGGAAAGGATGGAAATGATGACTGATCACAGAATACAATTCAATATTAATATTCAATACAGTTGCAAATTTCTGGAAAACACTTGTTTCGGCAGGCGCTATGGAATCCCACAAGTGAACGAGCTCAAGAAATCTGAGAACTGATATATCCGTAATTTTTTAATATTTTTTTTCTGCAGGATCTCAAAAGTCAGCGGTGAGTGAAAAATTAAATTAAAAGAGGATTTTTTGTTTGAATATTATAATCTTCAGCTCTTAGAAAGAGAAGTATAAAATTCCTCACGCATATGAACTGTCAGTACTAAATCGACTTGAATGTCTAGTATAGTATTTTAACACTTGCAAAGTTCCAACACTTTGAATTCATTGCAAATATTCCACGAAAATATTCTAGGAAAGTTTTAGTTTCCAATCTCAGACCTAACAAAGTTGAAATTCTAGAAAGTAATAAAGGGATTTTGGAGTCATCTAATTGTTATCTTTCAATCTATAATTTATAAGAACAAAATGTAAACATGACTACCTATGCAGAAATAATCCGACGAAATTTTACTTCTTTTACTTCCATTTTTGAGATCATATATCGATCACATTAAAATATATTTCAAAATTTAAAGTTGGAGAGTGAATACTATTATATTACAGTATATTGAATAATCAAATACATAAATAAGTGTTAAGAATATAATAACCAATTAAGTAAAGAAATAAGATGCTTCAGATCAGAACATTCCGAATCTAGAAGAAATAATACCGTAAATTTAAGTATTATGTTTAGTAAGATTTGTGATAGTTTTGGCTTCTTAATACAAAAATGTAAAAACGTGTGATCAATCACAAGTTCTAGCAAGTATGATATACGCAGGAAAGTGAATGCAAGTTCTCAAAAAATAAAAGATTCCATCTTCTGATGGTTTTAATTTCTCCACATGTATATTTAGTGATACCTTTGAGTCTCTAATACACTAAAACACTTGAATTATACATTGAATGCATGACTAATAGTTGGGATGTTTCGGGTCACACATATCCGAGTGTGATGCTATTGTGGCCCAGTCTTTATCTTATTTAGTCCTTCGGTTTGGTTTCATCCACGTTGGGCTTGGGTTTTTATTTTTTTAAATTAAAACCTTTTACTCGACTCCATCTTTATATGAGGATGGCGTATTTTATGGTTTAGATGATAATTTATTGATTTGCCGAGGGGATGGTGCAGCCGTAGAACACGGGTCAAACCCGAACAAGGGTCAAAGCCGAGCGATACACGGGTCCGTAGACTTTGAGACGGGGATCTGTAGACGGTAAACTGCAAGAGGGCACGGACGCCACGTTGCGCCGTTCTTCTGGAAGGGAGATCGACAAGTGGAATCGGGCAAAATCGACAATTCGATGATTCGACCGAAGCCGTGAAACATTTTTCTGCTTGGCCGCACATTTTGTCGTTTGAACGAGGAAGGTTTACCGATGGGACAGAAAATCAAAAGCCGGTCCCGAGAAAGATTGGAAGATATTCAGTCGTTGATCTGGCCTGGCGGGTCAGGTGCACTGAACCGATGCGGATGAGACGGCATCGATCGAAAATGGGAAGGATTTGTCAAAGTTGCAGAGGAAATTTGAATTTGTAAGCTCCTCTGAATGGGCCCCAAGTCCGCAGACAAGAACCCCCCAAGACCTCAAACCTTTCGGACGAATGTTGTCCCTTGAAAAGCTTGACCAGCCAGCCATGCGGGATCCAGGATTGTTGCCCAATTGAAGCGTTTTTCAGATGCAGCAGGCAGGCAGGCACGCACGTGAGGTCAGCGCGCTTTACCATCGTTCTCGGGTCTCGTTGACGGAGATTCACGAGCGATGGGCAGAATAACATCGTCTCACGACAATTAGCTCAGATTCCAAACCTATGGAAGCAATAAAAGTAGCTCCAATGGCGAGCAGGCAACGAATCTTTTCGGATTCTTGCCCTGGTCCGAACACAAAACGAATGGAATTCATCGACATCTTGAGGCACGGGTCGTCGGGAAGCGTCCAGTGCCCAATGGAAATGTAAGGACCCACGCATGAAGAACCAGTCGTATCAAGCAACTGGTACTCAGTCCGGAATCAAATCCACAGTCACATGCATACGTCTCATCATGCTTTGCTCACCTAAGACTAATGGAAGATTGTGTCAACTTCTAGCCCATGGTGTACTCCAAGTAGGCCTGAACATCCCTCAGTTTTTAGGGCACAAGCTTGCAAGAATTTTTTCTTACATAAAACTGGACTTTGCTGAATTGATGTCATGAAAATCTTCTCGAACCTTAGGGTCCACCTAACATGTGTGGGGTATGCCCAAGATTTGTTGGCTTTGGTCGTGAATCTTCATTGGAAGTTACAAATTTGACCTTCAGGACGTGTGAACTTTGTGTCTTCTTTTGCATGGACGTGTAGGAATCTGCAGTACACAGGTGCTTGATTCGTTACCTCTCATTTCTTATCCTAATATGGCGTATGTACGATCTCACATGGTTTGAGACTTGTTCTCCCAAATTGATCCGTCTTCATTTTTTTATTCCAGAGCAGCGAGAAGAGCGTTTTAGTTCGAGTTGCGGTCGAAGCTACACGTACAGCTGTCTTGATCGATGGCGAAAGTTTTGAGTACGTCGGCATTTGTTTCAATTTTAGGTCGAAGCAAAGAACCGCTTGCTCCAGCGAGAAATACTTGCTATCCTGGTCTTGGTACTGCTGGAATCGCGAAGCTTGAGGCTGGAAGATGGTCGAAATGTGGGGTGAGTTGCAGTCGAACAGTCAGAACGAGAGTTGCGTCGAAAGACGATTCATCGCCGAGCTCCGCTTCCACACAGCTCGTGGAGCTTCCACGACAAGCGGTTGACATCGTCCAGGACTTTTATGAGCTCGTCAATCAGCGAGATTACGTGAGTGTCAGCAGCCTCTTTGCTGAAGACTGCTTTTATGAAGATTTCACATTTCCAGAGCCTATAAAGGGCAGAGAGGTATGCCTCAATTTTTCCTTTTTTTTTTTGGCCTTTTCGAAGCTCAATGAATTTGAACATGCGATGTTTGATTCCGCACTCCTCGAATGCTCTTCCGATCACATCGGCCTTAAAGGAAAACTGCCCAAATACTGCATGTCACAATCTTACTTGCATACTCCCTCCTCCCAGTTCTGCAACAATGCGTGCCAGAGTATGGGCCTTAAAATTGGACAATGTCATCCTTAGTTCCGAATCTCCGTCAATCTTGGACTCTATCCTTCAATTCCTTGCGGAGTTTCAGACCTCATTATGGATGGTAGTTTGATTGCGTTCGAATGGAACCTCGCTGTAAAAAGATGTTGGATGTAGTGTTGACCTAATGAGAAATGATCTGATTACGAATGTCCCATCACTGTGCACGAGATCAGGAAATCTTGAAGTTTTTCGAGAAGGTAATGACATCTATGGGACCTGAATTGAAGTTTGCAATCGACGACATCACCAGAAATGATCCGGATGCAGTGGGAGTCATCTGGCATCTAGGTACGATCCTTCTGATATTTTTGACCAAAGTACACACTTCGATAAGAGCGTTCAAGTCAAAGATGTAGACTCTTGTATCAATTGTCACTTTTAGATTAACCATGTCGAACATTTCCTTCAGTGTTTGTTCACTTTACTTTATTAAGTTTTTCAATTAGAGTTTGAAGAAAATTTTCATAATCTAACTTGAAGATTCTGAGCAGAGCTTAAGGGAAAACAATTTCCGTTTAGCAGAGGATGCAGCTTCTATCGCTGTGAAGTCAACAGCAGCGGCCAACGACAAATTAAGTATGTCAACTTGTTGCCGTAGAGCTTTTGTGCGGTCCTTGACAGTCCACTCTCTGTTTTCTAATATAGTTCCTTCGCGTTTCGTTCAGCTAAGAACAAGTTTGGAAGACCTGGGATATTCTGGTGTAGTTATTGATTTATTGGTCAAAGCCTCAATGGGTATGCCTGAACTCTTATGATGTATTTCATCTGCCTTCTTTTACCAGGTTTGCAAGGGATATCGTCGAGCCAGCAACCAAGCCTGGTGACCTCGCGATGGTATGACCTAATCTTTCAGACCGATCTCTTCATTAAATCTGCGGGTTAATGCTTACAGTCCGATGCTATCTTGACACAAGGAAACTAGTCTCAGATGTCGAAAGTTCCCTAGCCGGTTTTGATGATTTCATACGCTCGTCTTGATTGGGTATGTAGACCCAATCCATGAACACAGTTCAGACCTTGTTGTTTGTACAGAAACAAGTTGTTTCTGATACTCCTTCCTACTTCAGAAGATTCTTGAAACAGTCCAGACGATTTAGATGCCGTCTAGATCGCACAGTGGATTAACTCACACTTTTCTGTTGTGCAGGGTGCAATCAAGTTGGTGACTGGTCTCTTTGAAAGGTTTCCGAGCCTGTTGGATCGAATCTAGTAGATACTTTGAAGAGAACTATCATACTGTTCTGCAACAGTGATGAAAACACGATCACTTCTTGTAAAGTAGGATCTCGAATGTAAATTAAGGATTATTTTTCTGTAAATTCTGTGATCATGTAGATGATTATCTGTGCCAAAATGTGTTCCCTATCGTACTTCAAACCAAAGGCGAATGAAATAATTTTGCGTGATGTGCATTTGTATTGGATTTCTAGATAATTAGACTCATCTATAGCCCTGCTACTTCTTGACTTGTATGTCACTTTAGCTGTCACTTCTTTCTGTTCATCTGTCATTATTTGTTTCCCAGTGTCTTGGGACGTGTTTCGAGTATTATTGTTTCCACAAACAGTATTACTTACATATACACAAAGAAATCTAGACGGAGGTGTGTCCACTGTCGTTCCACTTCATCAATGAGAAAAGGTAGCGGGTCACTTCATGAACAACCCTCTCTGCGTATATTGTATAGTAGGAGACAAGTACACTACTGTCCGGTATCAAGACTTCAATTTCCCCAAGGAGAACTCATATCTCAAAACGAAGCCGAGCAAGCAGGCAGTCAGCACCTGTGATGTCAGATCATGCCTGCTCCAAGTCTGCAGTGACTTCCATGCTTGTAATCGCTTAGCAGACGGTGTAGATTAGAGTTGACATGAAATAAAACCAGGCCAAGAAGCTGGAGGGTGTAAATGAGAGGTTCCACTTCGGTCATTCAGCCGGTGCGAAAATTGATCAATCCAAGGAACTGAGATGCCAGGAAATATAAAAAGCAGACGTGTGGACCATGGCGGGTATAATTCTAAGAGTGGTGGTGCAGTAGGGGGAGCTTACTCACTTGAACACCATTCTAGAAAATCTATGCAGCTTTCAAAACAGAGTCATAAAACACATTTCACGATATCCCTCTAGAATATGGCGTGAGATGGCATCTACTTTGTCTTTCAGGGAGTAAGAAGTCAGGTAACATTTGAGTGTTTCTCCAGCATGTCGGAAATGGGTTTGAGGGACATTTAGATCGAGATAGTGCAGATGTGTTCTTGACAAAGACTAATTTTGTCTGTGGCTTCTGTCTCTATCATCGCCTTCTGCTCTTCACGAGTCCTACACATGATGCTGTTATATATCTGCTCTTTGACCCCAGGGATTAGGCTGTTCTTTTACTGCTTCTGGCTTGTGTAGAAAATACGAAGAGTTTGCAAGAACAGAATATAATACCACTTGAAGTCAAAACTCTGCATTGCTTTTGGTCCCAGTTGTAGATGATCATGAAGATTCTTCGGTAGTCATACTTTCTGCTAGCATAGTCTAACAAAGGGAGTTAGGTGTGCATACAAAGGCATAGGGAGTGCGAAGTTTGAAGCACTGCTCTCGCAGTGCAGGATGGTTGAAGTGGTAACGTTCGAAGAGTTTCCTTATATTACTGTAGATCTCTATGGCTATGTCTCCTAGCTTCTCACACGGTGTAATCATGATGACACCCTGAGGACAATTTGGACACTGTGAGATGAAATTAAATGCTCGTGCCACATTCATGAACAAACTGCTCATGTTCATGGCTAGGTTTAGTTCCGACATTTCCTTAGTCCCTTCAGTCCGGATTTGTCGTGTCCGGCCGTTGAGGCTGACTCAACTTCGAATGTAGTCAGTCCTCAATAAGGCTTGACAAACCAAATCGAGGTAGAGGATGGAAGCAGTGTGTAGAATTCCAAGTATCATGACTAGTGCTGGAGTGTCCAGCTTATATACTAGGATTTCCAGTCTCATCATGCAAAGAAATACGTCCCTCGACATCATCGTTTGGGAGTGTCAGTCACACCGCTTCACGCATCTTTGAGATGTTGCAAAAGTGAGAAACTACATACTGCTAGCTCTAAAACATCCAGTTCGTATTTCTGGTGTGATCTCCAATTTTTGTTATGTTCTATTCTTGAAAGTCCTATTCCCCGCCGTCTCCTTACCACTCTTGCAAAGGCACTATGTACCTTGGCAAGACCTGAGATTGATGCAACATGTGACATATGACCTTAGTTACATGCTAGGCCACCGAATGTTGGACGCTTGTGTTGCTCTGACTCCACAGGGTTTGGAATTTGACATAAAGTATGGAGCAGAAGTCTCATATCTGTACTACTCTTGGGAATTGTGGTGTCCAGTGGACACCACAATTTTGGTAACTGTGGACAGTGTCCACAGTTACCGAAATATACATACAAACGTACCAAGACATTGTATTCGGAATTTCTACTTATTCTCTTGTTAGCGAGCTCATTTGTTCATATTCTTGTTCCGTAATTGCTGTCTCAGTTGTCTCAGGAGTTTAGAATCTTACCTTCAAACCTTTGGTTGAAAAAGTTGGACTGCGACGGTGACAAAGGATCAATCAATCCAATTCCGGACTTGTGCAACTTTCCTTGGCAATTGGTGATATCACTCGAGAACCACTCGTGATAACCTCGATCCCCAGACATTGAACCAGAGCACTGTCATACTACTTACGTGCCAACTTTCCATTCAGGCTCAACTGACCAAAACAAAACGGCCACTTAGGAATGCAGCTTTGCTTGATGGTCATGGTTGAACCATTACCTCGATGCTGTGCAGACTCTGGACTTTTCCGCCAGAAATAGTCGATGTGACATCTTCACTTTTACAGAGCACGATTCTCACAAGCACTCGACGTCATCGATTGTGTATAGATATATATCTCACCAGGTTCGGCACTCAAAATGTCTCTGTCTTCAGGCCGATCGGATTCAGATCAACACAGGGCCTACACAGACTTCGAATCGGATTTCCGTCGTGAAAGCTCTGTCAGAACGAGCCATCACAGTCTGAATGAGGACCTCAACACGCATTGGACTTTTGAGCAGGCTGAATAGTTCGGAAGCAGGTAGAAGGAACCACACTATGATACAGAATCAAGATCTTTTTGTTCGGTGACAGGCAAACAACTTAGTCAGCACGGCGATGCAGAAACCAGCGACTCCCCCAACACAAGCTCCATGAGGAGCTGACATTCCTTAACAAAGCTCGCACCAGATTTGGGTCATCGAGAATCTGCAGACAGCTGAACCGTCCAGTTCAGTCGAGGATTAATTCTTTAACGAAATAAAATTCGTCGAGAAAGATGTGAAATTTTGTGCAGGAGAATCTCCAGAGGGCATTCGAGTGGTGGGTGGGGGAGGGGAAGAGAGCAGAAAGAGCGAAAGCCGAGAAGACCGACCGACCGACCGACTCGGACATGATGTGTTGACGGATGAATGAATCCACCATCTGACGCGATTTCAACTCTCCAGGACGACGACTGACAAGCATCTGCCGCTCTGACGGATCTCTGATCATGCAGGCGATGAGTAAAGTGGATGCAAAGGCACGGACACGGACACGGTCCCATCGTTGCACCCTTGCACCCTTGCACCCTTGCATTCTACGTTACTCACCGTCTCCAAAACCAGGGCTCTCTCTCAATGCCGTCATCGATCGGAATTCCTCGTCGAGTGTTCTATTACGAGCATCCTCTGCACCTCCTCCATGTTCTTCTGGTCGGCAGTTCTCTCGTCTTCTCTCCCTCCCTCCTCTCTCCGTCATCTTCTCCATCTCTCGCCTATAATTGGCACGGAACAGCAGGAGAAGACGACTGCCACGTTGGGGAGATGGGCCCCTTGTGCCTGATCTGATCTGATCAGATCAGATCAGCAGCATGTGGCCTCGTTGAAAGACGGAATCCCCCCGGAAGTCACCCATAGCTTGGGGTTCCGAGCCAGGCGACTGAATAAGTGGTCAGCAATTCAAGGGCTGGACGGGACATACGTGACAGAATCAGCAGAAGACGCATCGTAGAATTCCACCGAGCGAGGCCGAGGGTCTGGTACGTGTTTCATGAGAGATCCAAGAGAGAAAAAGTGACCTGCCTGCATACTCGACCGAATGGGACAGAACAGAAGCTCCTGGAAACGCAGGAGGTGGAGAACTGCATATCGAGGTCGTCTACGAAAGTAACATAATCAAATTCATGACAGTAACAGGTCAACATCATGCCGCAGCAAGATTTGCCGGAAAGGCAAGATAAGTTGCCTGTGAGATAACGGTGTCAATCCCACGCTCATGTTCCAGTCTCAGGCTTGGCACAGTTCAGAGAGATTCCATGTTCAGTGGACAACTCGGGACTGGCAGGGCAGTGCAGAGGTCCAAGCTCCAGGTTTCAACAGCATGCGTCTAGAGAAACATTTTAAAGCAGAGATCAATCGAGTAACGACGATGACAACTGCACGAGGGAATTGGAAATAAATAACGTCGATCGATCCAAGTTGATGCCACAGATGTAAGCGAGAACCTGAAGAAGGACAATTAATTATTAGAAGAGTCCAGAACTTGCACGTGAGGCAGGTCCGAAGATGTGGTAGCTCATGTTCCTGGGTATGCAGCAGCAGGCCGATCGTCACTGAAAATTCCGATGGGGTTTTGGAACAGAGGAGGGCTCAGATTGAAGCTCGGTGGTCGTGCAGTCTAAAACTGTCACACGAGCATGTGATCTCCGTTGACGAGTTCACAGAAGAGGAAACGCTTCTTATAGATATCATCGCCGCAGTCTGAGCCATGCATGAGTCAGAGAAGAGTCTGGCACCAAAATTAATTGAATTGACAGAATGACAATGGAATGTCATTCAGTCCATGGAAGCTGGTCGCAGGTGCACGTGTAAGACGAACTGCCGTATTTAATGCAAAGAGAGCAAAAAGGCACCTTCTTTAGCGTGCAATGCTGAAGAGCTGCCTGCAGATGACCCTGCACGAACACGTTTCCTTTCAACGAGCCCAGATGGTCATCATCTGACGGAAGACGATGTTGCATGAGCAATGTTTCCACAATTTTGGTATAATGAATGTAAAATTATTCCCTCTCGTCTGTCCCCGCTTACGTCAAAGCCTGCGCTGGCCCCAGAGAGGGAGAGAAGGTGCAGCTACCCACCAAATTCATGCATGCAAACTCTGTGACGAGACTTTGTGACCTTCTTCCCTTTCGAGCAGTTCCACAATTCTCAGAAAAGCAAAAATGAAATTATTATTCTTACTAAACTGGAATCATGCGCTTTGCAAATTTGGTCACGTTGCAGTGGAAAGAACCACACTCCATATTGAGTAGGGGCTGTGATCAGGCTGGCAGTCTTCCTTTCTTCCTCACTACACAAGGAGCCTTATGTTGGTGAGAGGAGTTTGCAGGTCTTTTAGCGGGAATCAGATGTTGTTTGAAAGACCATGAATTTCTGTAGAGGCGGGAATATCTCGCATGCGCATGATGGGAGCGCTAAATTTCTTTGCCTCGAGTCAAGTTCTTCACGGACCTTTACATCTGTCGAGTGTAGGGATATCCAGGCATCGATGTCAACGCCTGGGATGATGTCGGAGCGGTAGAACAATCACTTTTTTCTCTGTTGAGTTCCGGCTGTTGACGGAAGCTTTGATTCCAGGAAAGAATTCGAGCTGACAGGCAATTCGTCCTTGAAGAGGGATAGATGGTCTGAGACGTTTCCATTCCTCTTTTGAGCTATACAAAGAATAATGCAAGCTCGTCAGAGATGAGGAAGAACACACATCTTCCACGGATCAGTGGACATCGCTTTCAGAGAGTCCCACCTGTCTTCGTGCACACGACATAACTCTACAGATCATGCAAACACCGATGGGTAAAGGATTCATACTTGATATGTGAAGCAAACTCTGAGCTTCCACTCCCCTCCATACATCAATTCCAACTGTGTGTGCAGGGGAGTGTCTGTAAGAGCGCTCGATCTATGGATTGCTTCCTGCGGAATATGCTGGTTTGGGATTGAATAGCATCCACCGTTGAAATTACAATGACCGGACTCCTTACAAATGACCATGATACTCGAACATCTTCATGCACTGCGTCTGTCACTTGTGTTTCTGTGAGTACCAACAAACGTTCGGATGCCTGCTTCTCATCAAAGTACACGCCTCAGGCGAGCTCTTGAGATCTTCAGCTGTCGGATATGACACCCAATTCACTTGCTTGGATTCAAATTCTATCCATCCGGAGAGTGCAGGCTGAGAAGCTACAATCAAGCATCGTCTATTTATCGAAGTACATCGAGGCAGGAAGATTGTAATCGAGGCAAGAAGTACCAGCAGCCTCATTGTCCAAAAGCTCTGCATGTGGATTATCCGTGATTGCTCTGCTCCTGATCATTTCCCTACCCGAAAATCCCATCGTCGTCGGGCAAACAGGTCACTAGCATGCGCTTTTGCGACCATGTGCAGAATCCATCACAAATCATCCAGTCTGTAAATGTATACATTAAACTGCAATTTTCTCTCCTTAAGGTTTGAACTGAAACATCCGGAGGTAACAGGAGCTTGCTTTCGAGGCATTGTACTGCTCTGCTGGTTCTGATCTAGTAAATTCGATATCGTTAAGCAGACCATTCCACATGCTTATAAGGTCCCACATCATCTGTCTGCACCCTCTTCAGCGGAGCAAATTGCTATCGCTACGTGGTTATACCCACTTAGACAGAGATCTGTCTTAGTTGGACCTCATCATAAGAGAGTCAGCAGTAATCTCCATGTTCATGATAATTTCTCATGGCGGGATGAAGCTACGCACTAGATGAAGTCTGATCGGAACTCCAACATTAGAGCACACACACAAACCTACAAATCCTACGAAACGAAGTTTTTCAGTTCCAGCCTTGTGTTGCAGATAACTAGCACATGTCTATACGATTGCCCTCAACGCTGTACCTTCCGAGCTTAACATGGCAGATTGTCGGACCATTCGTAGTTCCAGTTCAGTGGCTAGTATACTAGTGTATACTAGAGGTCATAGCTTCTTGGCAGGCGAATGTCTGGTACCTTACATTGGAAAGCTGCAAAGCCTTCATCGAAGTATTTGCCGGCCCCACAGAAGCTAGTATTGGAGCACGGTAACGAAACTGGGAAAGTAGCTCTGACTTTGTCCTAGATAGACAGGCCATCTTGTTCATCTCGTTCATGCAAATCTGAAAAACTTTACGAGTTGTGTTTCTGTGGATCCAAGCCGTTGCTGTCCTTTCAGGAGCAACCGGTCTTGGCTACACACTCCAGAACTATGTCGTTGGAACGTGGCTTCGTTGTGCTAACCTCAAGTGTAAAGCGACGAGATTATAAAAATTGAGCTGAAAATTAACATGAGAAGCTCATTCAGATCCTGAGAAAGGTCATTCACATTACGACGGTCTTCCTGCTCTCCCGGGAGGAGATAAGAATCGTAACGATCAGACTGACTGCGGTTTTCAGCAGTTTTGCATTCCTACGAGGAGATCCGGATTGCACAGTTTCTGTCACGAGGATGACGGTGGTGGAGGAGGTGGGTCTCCAAACGAAACGCTGAAGGAGTTATCCATTGCTGGAGGCGGAGGAGCCGGCTCATCGTTGAAAGAGATCGAGAAGGGATCGTTGTTAGCTTGAGGAGGTGGCGGTTGAAGAGGATCAGCTCCAGCTCCAGGTATGCCAGCAGTATGAATTGTGTGGCGAGCACCAGAGGATTGTTGCGATTGAGGAGGAGGAGGCGGTACATTACCATTACCATTACCATCATCACCATGCTCCTCCTCGTCTTCATCTCCGAAACCAGTGAAAGCCTTCTTCCCACCAGTGCCACCAGGAGGAGGAGGGGGAGGAGGAGAGCTTGAATCTTCAAATCCGAAGCCTCCGAATGCATTAGCAAACGGATCGAAGGGCTCAGTTGCCGCCGGTGCCTCCGGAAACGCCCCGGGAGGCGGAGGATCAGGACCACCAGATGGTTGAATTTCTTCAAATCCACCCTCTAAACCACCGAGAGTTGCAGAATCTGGTCCTCCAATACCTTGGTCCTGGGACCTGAATGCATGAAAGACACGCATGAGCTCTGATTACAAACTTCAGCTGCATCAACAAACGATCATTATAAATTCATATACTTCTATCATATCATACTGAATCGCAGAATTATTGCACTGATATTTTTCTCCGACTTCAACTTTGATTTGTTTCATCAAATGTGGAATGGAAAGGGGATTACTCACCACTTCACTGAGAACTTCCGTCCTCTGCCTCTACTCTGAGGATGGTCAGCAGGTGCCTGTGGGTTACCATCTGCTCCCCAGGTAGTGGCAAAAGAGGCCATCCTTTCATTACCGAGATGTGGAACGTCTTCAGGTGGAACCATAGCTTCCATCTTCCAGTTCTGAAATACTTCGAACCCTGGACCAGTCGGTTCCAGGACAGTAGCAGCGTCGGGTTTCTGGTACGTAGGTATCCATAATGGGTTGTACACCTGCTTTCATCAGAGAAAGCAGCATGAGTTTAATTTGAGCTACGTAAATTTCACAAGCTCCTTTCAGCTGAAATACGACGGACCATATCAGAACTATCACATACGACAGATCATATCAGACTATCACAGCTGAGAATCGTAGGACTTTTAAACTTCGACAAGTATACATCGTCCCTGTTTGATTTAGGAGATTCCAGATTGAGTCGGTGCATGGACCCTTATCATCTTGAAGTTCTCTTCGCCCTCGTCAAATTCATGAACCGTCCTCCTCGTTCTTTTACAGTTGCGTGTGCTCTTTCCTGACAAGTAGAAGACAGCCAGCAACCCAGCTATCCCTCCCATCGCGTACAGAATAAATTTCACAAACGCTGTCCACATAGAGATGCTCAATCTTTTCAGCATAAGTGCAGCAACCATGTCTCATGGAAAGTTCGAGAAATCAGAAACATGGTAGCGTTCTTAGAGTATGCAACCTCAGAACATTCTTCGTATTCAGTTATTTCCATCTTTTAATTTTAATTTTTATCTTCTTCACTTCTGGGGAACAAAACTTGGCTCCCAAGCGTTAAGTTACACCTCCGAGTCCATGATGTGAACGTGTGAAGAGCTTTATGTCAGTGACCAACACACAGTTTCAATGAACAATTCGATTTCACATCCAGATTCACATTCTCTATAATATTCTGTCCCGAGCTCTTCCATCTCTCCTTCGACATTCGTGAGGGGCTATCGTAGTTCGTAGGAAACGCACCTCTTAATTTGTATGCAGGTTTGTATTTCTTGTCGTAAATCATAATGGCCATTTGATGCTGCGCTACATAAGAATATGATTCTCTGCTGGTGCAATCACCGACGCACCCAAAGTTACCAAGATCATCAAAAAGTAGCGAGAGCTGAACTCTCTGCGTGCTATCCTGGACACACACGAAGCAAACGGTTATTTCGAGACCCCCAAGTTGCGGCTATGAGACCAGAGTGGACGACATAAGTGAAACACCGTGTCCTCACATCAGCGCAAACGAAGAAGGCGCCTCTGACATCTCTCACTTTTCCAGCTGGAAAGATAATCGTCCGCTTACAGAAAGAGAAAAGTTGATGCTGCAGAAATCACATGTACTCGGACAGTGGTCCCTCCCCAGACACACTTTTCCTTAAGGAGGGGCAAATGGCTGAACATGGCGAGTGAGCGCGACCCAAGAACAATATCCAAACAACTTCATAGTTGTTAGACTGTACCTACCATTGAAGTTATTTTCAGCATGATCGAGTGTGAGGATCGATCGATCAATCGATCCATCAATCAATCACTAGAAAGCTTCGTGTTCGAATCTAAGGGGAAAGTTGTTCCATCTGTGTTTGGGCAGAGTGGGTGTAAATCTTCACCTCCGTTCGCATGACGTTGAAAGTAATTTGAGAAGCCCAATGGAGCTGTTCTCTTTTGGAAGGATGAATGTGGTGAAGGAAAGTACAGGTTTGATGGAGACAGGATCTTCTGTATTACAACAAGATGCAATGGGGAGACAAATGTGACAGGCAAAGAGTAAAAAAGTCTCCAGCATGCAATCTAGAAGTATCTACCATAGCTGTTCAATCTGTGAGGTGGACATACATTGTCACTCTTGAACAAAATTGCTTGCAGAGCAGTATTCCAATCTTTGAGCGATGCTACAAATCTTACGCCCTGTCCCCAAACGACGATCTGATGCTCAGGTATGGATGACCAATTCTTGTCTCCTACAACTCTGTAACTTGCTGTAGTGTACCCAGATGGAGGTATGGTCATCTGTATGGCCCCACTTTCCACCTCCACTGTACCAGCGAGGACATAAGTTGCGGATCCTGCAGCGACAAAACATTATCCCGATTCGTGAATTCACTTTCCAACTGCATGGACTTCACCTGCTTCAGACCATTCAATGCACCCTCCATTATAGGGAGATTTTGAGACATGGCTTCAAACAAAAAATATAAATCAACGTACGCCATCTGGTCACTTGCTGAGACTCCTTTCCAGGGAGCCAATCAATTCCATTCTATTCTGTTCCCTCTATTAGAGTGGCGTGTCCTTCACAAGTTTGAGCATAGTACAGCAGCACAGCCTTGACATGGATGTTAAAACTATGACGAAGTGTTCCCTGGTTCGTGTGGTTCAGTCACAGCCAAGGCACAGAGCTCATTGGTTTATTTATATATGCCTGAAATAGCCTGAAACCCTTCTGCCTCTCTCTTCCCAGTCTGTTGAGAGAATGAATGAACGAATGAAATCTAGGAGAGTCTAGCGTCTAGTTTGAAAGGGCTGATCCCTTCTAACCTTCCCAGAAAAGCTTAGAAAATTCATGACTAAGAAAACAACCAAGCGCCTTGCTCATAATTAACGTGTTTTGATTTATTATGTACTATGACTATTTCTAAATTAATTATCATACTCAATAATAACTAACTATATATATTCAAGCGTAAAATCTTATGGGGGGTATTACTTTAACAACCAACAGTGTACCAAAATATAAGTCAAAGATATAGGCACGAGGTACAATAATATAAATAATACGCGGTCAGAATGGATGGTCCATTGTAACAGGGGTCACCTGTTGGGTCATCTGCGTCCGGATCTGCAACAGAGAGTTGGGCGAGGGGCACTCCAACACCGGTGAGATCGCTTCCGAAGGATTCCGTGGTGCTCAAATTGATAGCGAAGAAGCTTGGGCCGATGACGTAAGGCGGGTCGTTGACAGCTCTCACGTAGACCGACATGCTTTTCGTGCACCCGACGCCATTCGAGTTCAGGACGGTGAAATACACGGTGTCATTTCCGTTGAAATCTCCAAGGCTGCTCATGCAGTGACACTCGTGATCAGATCCACATCGTCTCTAACTCGGACGAGAGTCCCCATCGCTATATATAATTCATGGGCTGCTGCAATCTATAGTATCATAGTATAGCAATCACCTTTGAAATTACTTTGAAATTACTACAACATGTGGCAAGTTTTACCTCGACAGTTCTGATCATTTATACATAATGAATAATTCAGTTTGATTGTGATGAAATTGGAGCCTAGCCCAATCTTACACGTTCGGTTATAGGAGTTGATAGGTACTTTCTCATCGTTTTTGCTATATTAGTTGGTCTCTTTGGAAAATCCTAGTTACATTTGACAACGTTGACCACATATCATTAAAATTGGATTTATCTTCACGTGATAGTCTGATTTCTATGAAATGTAAGGTAATCAAAGATGAACACAAGTTGTTGATCCTAGAAAAGATCCGAACATCTGACGCTAGAAAATTTATTATTATGGAGTTAGACCTGTAAGTTTAATTCCATAACAAAACCCTTGGTCATTCGATTTAATGAACAACTTGTGATGATCGTCCTAAAACAGATTGACGAGATTATATATGTGGCCGTCAAATGATCAAATATTTCATTGTCATCATGATTGATCAGATAAAACGTAGTTGAAAATACGTCTTGTTTTCAGACATGTGAAAAGGGATCTTCGGTCATTTCACTATAGGAATTATTTAATTTTGATGAAAAAAAGTTGACAGATTGAACTACATGGTGAAACTTGGGTTGTGCTTTTAACTTGATACGTCTTTAGATGATGATGATACTTTCGTTGTCTATTGGAGCAGAAAGATTGTATTCTACAATCTTTAAACTTTAAAACACTTTAAACTTACAAGTGTTTATAGTCATTTTCAAATGCGGAATTAAGTACTTGTTTCTTTCTCTCATACGGATATCACGATTATGAGAAGAATCGCTGGGTTGTCTGTGTCGAGAGTAGGAAATATTCTTAAAAGCCTTAGCAAGCCAATATCTTTCACACAGTCATGTTGCAAAGAATCTGAATGAAGAGGACTAAGACTGCATATAATCATGTTAAAAAAGCACCAAGGTTCTAGGGTGTTGCTTTGAATGCAACACAATAAAAGATCATTTGAGTCTTACAATAGTATCGAAGGATCTGATACTTCATCATAATATCCTATCTTCATGTGTATGCTAGATATATAAAAACTATGAAGGATATGAGGTTCCATGACTGCCTGTCTCAACATTTTGTTTTTGGTATTTTAAGCGCACATGTAACTATAAGAAGGAAAACACAACGCCTGAACGCTGGAACTTGTATTTGAAGAGACTATAAGATATATATGTTTCATGACCAAGGTTTGGATATGAACATGTGAAGAAAACATGAAACTTAGGATGTTGGGTGAAAGACCTCTCGACTATCACTTGGATCTGATTCAAGTCTTCGTTCAATTGAATCAAAGTTCAAAGAATATACAATCTTCTCGGAGATGCCAACGAAAAAGACAGATTTCAACAGTTGTATTTATCTGACTTTACATGCATCTCTTCCTTCGAGGCTTCAAGTTTGAACGTTTTACATCTGGGTTCTTGTTGGATTCAATTGAAGGCCGGGATCGTGTTAAATACACCTTGGTTTCTTTCACACACGGGGTTTCCATTCCCTAATCCGATAGGCAACAAATAAATGTTTTCTTGCTGGTAACTAGCCATAGACAAAAAAATATACATACGTACCTCATGTACTGCAGAGCTTTCAGAGCAGCATTCAATTGTTCCACTTTTGCAGAAAAGCGCAAGGCATTTGAGTCATCATTTGTTCTCGTGATTTCGTCAGAAAGTTTTAGCTGGAAAAACATGTTTTCAGATGCCTCGGGCATGGTTACATTCTCCTCAGGGACATCATTTGGTACTATCACGGTAACATTCTGCCAGGGCTCAGAAATGTCAGCTGCTGGATATACTCGCCCATTCAATGCAAACAGCTCTGCTGATAAAATCGAGTCCGTCTGTAAACAAGCCACTTCCACGCTTTTCATTCCCCTAAACGCAAAAATTTCATGGCATCAGACAAGTGCCTTCACTCCTGCTTCTTGCAAACATGCATCGACTTTAAACAACAAACATGTGAAGCGTCAGGTTGGGAGTCGACGAACAAGGATCAACTGGTCTTAAACAGTCTAATCAACAGTTAGTTCGTTAGTTTCATCTCGACGACAATGAAGTCATTGTACATTACAATTGATAAGGAACAATTTCAAGTTTTTCTGGAAGTAAATGATCTCCTAATATTTTATATGCAGCAACGTGAAGCGTAAACTACGAGAAATATCTGAGATGGCAGAGTTACGGAAAGCTACGGAATAACAACTCATCATCTACAGAAATCTTTTACCCAGTAGCGGGAAGTGGCTGATCCTCGAACGCAGAGACCGATCTGGGAAATGCACTGATATACGGCTGCCCTGGTGGGGTTACCGTAATAGAAACTTCCCCAAAAGCTATCTCACCAGAATCATCTTTTATCTCATAAATCAGATACTCATTTCCAGAGAAGTCTGCATCTGGAGTGTAAATCATCGTTCCGTCCAGACCTACCACCATAGCACCATTTTCCGGATCCTGCAAGGAGAAAGTATTCTAGGATTTTGTTCACTACCATTCAATATGCTCCAGTGAATACAGGATTCCAAGCCACAACGTGGATACTCTTCCAAGCCCTCACTCCGTCCGACTCATAATTTGTACAGTCCTTTGAAGATATACAATCTTATAAGTTTTGGTCAAAGGGCTAAGTTCTTCACGACAAGCATCAGAATAAATCACCTCTCAATTTGCTAAGTACCCTTCCTAGAATTGCATAGACAAACTGCACAGCATTGCAAACCAAACTTTTCGAAGTCCTTTAAAGCAGATGGAAATCAAGGTGTGGGTAAGATCTAGCACCGACAGATACTGACACTGGACCTTGACCACTCAGAAAGTTTTGAATCCTGGATATTCGTGACCTACGTCAATTTTAATGAAGATTGGCGATCCGCTCTTTACATAGTCATTAGACAGCACGTTGAATGTAAGCGGATAGTTCATCCAGGTCCAGACATCGTCAAATACTGCACGCGGTAAGGCGTCACCTGCAAGACATTTTATATGTCTTTCTAGTTACTTCCTGATATGAACATGCGCAGCAAATAGGATGAACAAATCTTACTTCAGAAGTATATAGTTTCTGCACTCCTCATCTCCTACATGAAGAACGTTAGTTTCGAATCTTTGGCTGCAGTGTCCTACGTCACATGATTCGGTTCTAGCTCTTTCTGAAAAATTGCTTCATTCCAAGATTATACTCGACAGCATACGTAAACAGTAAGGGTACGGACCTCCTTCGATCTCAAACTCGAAAGGACTCCCAGGAATTGGTTCGTCAAACAAGGTGATTAGAAATGAAATAAATCCCGCAGAGGTGATTTTGATTGTTGCAACATAAGTTCCATTATCCATGTCCAGAGGTGCGACAGGGTCGGGTGTTCCTGTCATAGGCGGCACTGATGTCACAGCAAATTCCAATATGTTTCCAGATTTTTTCGTGTGTCCTGCATCATCTTTTGTAGTAATAATGATAGTTAAGTGCACTCCTACTTTCAGATCTTGACTGGGTACGAACTGAGCCGCGCAATCATCTGCGGTAATAACAACACCTGCAACGACCAAGAAACAGGTAAGGAAAAAGATGAGGGAGAGTTAGAAGCTAACGGACAGGTGTATTATACTTGGGCTGGGTCCAAATCACCTATACAGAGCACCATCGTGAAATCCCATACCTTCAACGGCAGAGAACCCGAATGGCGACCCTTTTATTGATCCTGTCGTATCTCCAACCTCGAGGGAGTACTTCCCTAGATTTGTGATGTTGAACGTGACCAGCATTTGGTCCTTATTGGCAGCGGACGGAGTGATTTTGATGTCGAGTGTAACCGACTTTTTATCTTCCGTAAAGACTTTGACAGTGAAGTCATGAACTCCAGAGCTGTTAGTGTAGAGCTTATTGCCAAAGGCATCCATTTGGTATATGATAAACGTTGCAAGTTTTCCCACGGGCAAAGCTGGATTGCCTCCTGCGAAGTGTCCATAGCAGAAGCTAATGACAAAAGGCCCTACATCAGGGGAGACAATGGCCAAGAGTCAATTCCAGATGTTAAATCCCTTGCCAGCCAAGTACAGTTGGTTGTCTGCAGTCAACAATGTAGGCTTAGACAGAGAGAATTTTCATACTAGAATCAATCCTTGCAGTCCTGCAATTTTGATGAAGAGCATATTTGACACAAGCTGCATTAGATACAGAACCTGCAGATATTTTGACGACGAAAGGACTTCCGCGGATTTCTGAAGAAGTATTGGCAGCTTTCACTGTCATGGCGTAACCCGAAGGTCCAGAGGCTGCAGTTATTCGATATTGAACATTTATCATATTACCAGAGCCCTCCGTGAACGTAACATTGGCAGACACGTCAGTGTTGAATTCAACCTTGAAGATGGAGGCTGGTGCAGGAGAAGCAACAAGCGATTTGGTGTATGTGAATATGGTGAACTGCAGCGTGTCTCCTGCAGCTCCACCGATTAGACCTGTCCCGGACGCGTTGCATACGGGTACATAGATATCTCCTGGTCACCTTGAAAAAGGCAGATCCCCAAAGATTAGTAATACGCTTTTCAGCTTCAGGACCGATCACCATATCTTCACTTCCATCGTCCCTACTGTTTTTCTTGAAACGGTATCAGGCAATGATGTGTGCAAGGGAGCCATGACTTTCCTATCTTCTACCTCACAATCAGCTCAAGATCATACAAAGTAGAAGAGCATGTAGAGAAGCTTGACTTTAATGTCATCTACACGTACAGCTCACTGCCACGAGACACAGGGAGAGCTAGTACCTTCGCCGACAGAGAAGCTGAATGGTGATCCAACGATTTGAACCGAAGGAACCTCTTCCCAGTCGAACCAGTTGTTTGCTAGGCTGAATCTGTCGTTGGAAGCGTAAACCTCCAGTTCAAAGTTGCCAACCTGACTGGTGGTAAATTCCAGTTTTTCCTGGATGAAGGTTGGGCTTCCCAAAGGCAGAATCGTCAAGTCAGAACCCTGAAGCTCAGAATGGGTTTCTCCAGCTGTGAAAAGCCGTGCTGAGAAATATGCTGTTCCGGCTAAAGGATTGCTTATATCTTGCTGTGCAGGGTTACCATAGGTATCTCGCTGGGTAATCAGCAAAGCAGCTTTCACCCCAAGCCCAAACACGCTTCTAGAATTGGACCATCCTCCTGTTATATTCGATATTGACAAAGGGCCTGTAGAGGAGCACCACATTCCGCATCTGAGCATTTGAGTGCAGGCACAAAACTCAACAAACAGCTCACGTCTACACAACAGGCCATCAAACTCGAGCAAAACAGTTATTGGACTAACGTGCAGTAGACTACGGAACAATACCTGCATCTACAAGAAACGTAAAAGGTGAACCACTAATTTCAGCTGTGCCATCTCCAACATGGAATTTGAATTCTCCAGATGCTATGGCCGTGAAAGTTACAAAAACTTTTCCCTGAGCAAGGTTTGGGCCCTCCTCCGTAGTCAGATTTTTTGCAGGTGATGATAAACTCAAAGATGGTATTGGCGCAGAAGTAGTTGAGGGCGCAGGAATCACTTTCAAGATGAATAGGAAAACGTCAAGGTATAAATTATTCTTCGCATCCTTCTGAGTCACTTCCATTTTAATCCGAGATCCAGCAGGGAACTTTGGCGGGTTAGACGTGGCATCTATCCAGCTGGCTGTGCAACTGGCCATAACCGGATTTCCTGACAGACAAATACAGTGCCCAATCAGCGTGAAAAATACAACTCGGGGCGCACCAACAAAATCGTCAAGAACTGCTACGAGCTTCGCATAAAGAAGCGTTTGAAGTAATCTAGGGTATACAAGGTTGGAAGGATTCACAACTAACTATACATGAAGGAAGGGAGGACGCACTGAACCGACCTGCCCTGACTTTGAACGGGAAGGGAGATCCTTGGAGCACTTCGGCGCTTGTTCCAACATTTAGTACAAAACTACCGCTAGTAGATGGAGCAAACGTCAAGGACTGAGTTCCTGCATCCGTTGGAGCACCTACAGTCACAGTGTACGGCACAGCTATCGATGGATTGTCCTGATTGGTGACTGATGTGATCCAATTGAAGCTTGCAAGTCTTGAGCCACCCCTCGAGGCGGTTGTGATGATGTTTCCATAAGCATCAACAAGAGTTATAACAAACTCAGCTCTGGCTCCAACAGAAAATTTGTCGCTATTGAACCAAGCACCCATCGACTTCAGCGGAGAAGGAGAACCTTCAAACAGAACCCAGAAAGACATGAGCCGACAACCGAAGAAGCCGTAAGCATGCAGCTGATACTTACAACGATGACAAGGATGATTCGGGCTTAATTTCTGGGCATCTTCCTTGTGAGGTCAACACCTCCTTGTTGAAAGAGGTTACACTCCATGTATCACATCCTAGAATGTGCACAGCATATAGTGTGAATGTGCTATCATATCAGCAATAAACTTCACGATAGAATACTCTCAAACGTAGTGATGAACACTAACCACTAACTGTTGCGAACTCAGTAATATAATGGAGAAATGAGAAAGAATCTGTTAGGTTCAGATGTTAAACCTCACCCGGGATTACAGTAAACACAAACGGAGAGCCGGGAATACTTGTTCCATCACTACCAGTAACTTTCAAATCGAACTTCCCGGTCAATTTCGGAACAAAACCCAAAAGCTGATAACCAGTATCAGGAAATTCAGACTTAACAGTGACAGGAGTGTCTGGTAATATTCTGTTGTCTGTGGCAAGTTTCTCTACAGTAACGATAAGTGCTCCTGCTGGTAGTGGGTTGATGATGTTTCCGTCTTTATCCATTGCCAGCAACCTGAAAGATGATTGAGCGCCAGCTGGAAGGGTATTGACTCCCCCGGGCCAAGCACCCTTCGTAGAGGGAAGGTAAAACACACCTGCTTAGAGCGTGTTGGTTTGGAGTCCGTACTTCCAGGTTAAACCAAAGGGAGCTGTCTACTCATACTATCTGGAGCAGTATTGTTCTACATTCAAAGCAGGTTATCAAGATACACCCTACAAGGGTTAGAGAATATCAAACAGATGTCTTTCAAAAAGTTTGACTCTTCAACAGCAACTACATATGGCAATCTAACCTTACAACAATAAGTATACGCCTTCACCACAATTATTGATAGACAGACTGGTACGTGCATAAAACAGCTGACTGACTATTTGTGGTTTTCCGCTCCCAAAAAAGGTACACACCTTATTGCAGCCTTGATATCCTACCCACTTACCTGTCTTCACTGTGAATTGAAAAGGCGATCCTTCAATCTGTTCATCTCCGGCTTGAGAAGTTATTTTAAAGACGAAAACCCCTGCAGTTTGCATTTTGACGACGAAGTCTATACTTCCAGGAGTACCCACGGTTGCAGAAGAGGTTATAGAAGGAGGAGTGAAAGGTCGATCGCCAAAAGCTCGAAACACCTCGGTATTAAATTTATAGGTCGCTTCCGTCATGAGCTCGTTCGCTTTATCCCTTAGAAGAACCCGTAGCGTAACTGTCTCTCCGGGGTCAATAGGACCTCCAACTATCCAAGAACCTGTACAAGCTGGTACATAGAGACTACCTACAGCAGAAACGAGGACGGAAGTTTGTAACAGGACATGCACACTGTGCTGCAGTCATGTATTTACCTGAATCCCTATTGTTTTGCAGAATTCATCATAGAAATTCATCGCTCTGAGATGAGGCAAGCAGAACTTCATCTACTGTTAAGCCAGCCGACTTCAGCAAGACAAGAAACAGTTGAAACGCTGGAGAAGTTTCTGCGTACCCGCAGTAACGGTGAAGGAAAACGGCGACCCCTTTACAGCAAAGAATTCTAGTGCGGATGGAAAAGCCCAAACATTCAAAACGAAATCTCCTTTTCTGGATGTAAGAAAAGTGATATCATAAAAGCCGGTATCTCCTCGTCTCGTAGATTTGACGTCAGTAATTGAGGTTGGGTCACCAGACGAACCCTTTGTAATTGAGGGCTTGAAATTAACTATCAAATCATTTCCAATTCCGCCAGTGGCCTCATTGACCTGGTGTCCAAAGCCGTCCATCAGCGTGACGACCAAAGTCCCTACTTCGCCAGCTTGCATCGTGTTGAGTCCATCTTTCCACGCTCCTGGAGATTTTTCGATATTAATTTTTCCTGCAGATACATCAGAGCAGAAATGTCAGAAAACTAATTTTAAAGACCAAATAAGATCTTAAATAAGAATAAACTGCTCACGGACGATAACTCTGATCTTAGACAGTATGACGAACTTGAATTGTCTTCATTAGCTGGTGATGATCTTATCAGTGGAAACAATGTGTGTCATTTCTATAGTTCGAAGTCATGGCTAAACCCCTTGTACACTACGAACCAACCATTTCATCAATGAATCTTCGCTCTAATGCTCTAAGTAAGCAACTGTAATGTAGGCGGGGGACTGGCGTTCCCCAACATCTGGTTGAAAATCATGGCCGAAACATCATGTACACCCCAATCGATCTTTCACTGCTCTAAGCCAAATCTAGTGTTCAGTTGACAGCAATGAAGTCAATCTCCTCATCACTCCTTTTATTCTACCTTGCATACTATCCAAGGTAAATGGACACTCGATTCCTAGGAACCAGTGGCAAAGACGGATAAAGAGAAGACGCAGTGCTGAGCGTACCGGCAACAATGTAGAGTTCAGCATCTTCGTTTCTTGATGGTAGATCATCGCTGTCTTGCTTAACATTGACCACCAAGTGCAGAGAGTATTTTTTCTTCGGATCAGGAGGTAGTTTGAAGTTATTGCAGACAATATTCCCAACACCGTACAACCCATCAACACATTTGTCAGATCTACATACCGCATCTGTTACTGGCAGCTCGTTGCCATTATACAAAATGTGGAGACCATAAAAAACATGCTCAGTATCACAGAAGTAGTCACAGGGTTTCTTGCATACATCCGGTTTGCAAAACCCTCCTTTCGCTATACACGCATCACTCTCGCAAGCATAAGTCAGTCCGATAAAAGGAGCGGTCAGATACTCCCCAAACTTCCATTTGACCACCATTCCCATGTACAACCATCCCGTGCAACCGTAAGAATACCGCACACCTTTATAGGAGTAATAACCCTCTGCACATCACCCCTCCACAAGCGACACTCTTCGTCAGAATTTGACCGCATGAAGGTACATTCTTGGCACCATCGTTGACGCGTTTATCAGTACTCTGCAAACAGACTTCAATACTTACAATCGAGCGACGGCCGATGGAATGAAACCATATCCTGCAGTACAACGAGTCGTTGAACTGCTGCAGAACATGGGCAGAGAATTATGGTGATTTATGAAGAGACAGCTTGTCCATAAAGTGCACACATTGGTTGTGTCTATCCTGTTCATATGAATCCCCGACGATCCGACAGAAGGTTGTGTGCTGATATTTACCGCAAGGCAAGAACAGCATTGTTGCTAGGATAAGAGACCTCAGCAGCAAGTTTCCATCATATGGCGCCATCTTTGGAAGGTTGGGCCCCGTTCGCTTGAATTATACTCGCAGAAGCATCAATATAAGATTCCTATCACCTCGTCCGAGAGTGGGTGGAGTAATCAAAAATACAAGAAACACTATACGACGTCTACCGTCATCGACACAGAGCAAGAATTCGGAAACTCTTCAAGAATCAAAATTTGCTTTCAGTTCGTGTTTATCGCTCTCCTGCAGTCTAATGTGCTAAAGCGTAGCCTATTTTGCGGTTGCTGAGTCGAAGGCTGCGTCGTCCAGTTTAAGGACTGTGGATACCTCCTGTTCATCGAATCCTTCGACAGTCTTGGAAGCACTCGGAATTATCATGCAGATGACTGGAATTTGTAACCCTAAGCTCTATAAAAATTCCAGTGTATGCGTTATTCCATTTCTTGTCGTGAGTGACATGCGCCTCAAGAGCCAGGACCTTTCCCTCCCAGTTTTGCTCTGATATATCGTCTAATTCTTCATTGAAGAAACAAATTTAAGAAATCTCAAGTCCACTGGAAACCGAGAAGGGAGGAATGACGTCTCCTTCTGACTAGCTGGGTTGTTGATCAGCCATCACCGACCCGCGAGGAGAATAACACTAAATTCCACTTCGCATAGAGCAAGAATGTGTCCTTCTCGCTGACAAAACTTGACTGCGATGCGAATATGTTTTCGAGAGACTTTTATGTTCTAAATCAGATAGCGAACCTTCCCGCATTGTAGACGCAAACAGAGAATTATCGAGTACCGTCTGGTACTTGTCACTTCAAAGGATCTCTTCAAGAATACTTCGTAATGTCTGTCAGCTTGTTCAACTTGTTTGGCCACAGACGGACTCGCATATCGGTGAACGTGTACGCGTGAGTTCGATCCATCGCACTGTCTGGCTATCAGGCATCATTATCAGCTGCGATTGCAAAGGCTCATTTCAACGACAAAAACTAGCCGCCCGTGATGAGCAATGTGGTCAGAATGAAGGTGGAAAACCTAGTCTCACAATTATGGGAGCTGCATGATCATGCGGGTTTCTTTCTACGTCTACGGCATTTCAGTACCTTCCGGATTCCCAAGTCTTTCTAATTTATCCGAGCCGTAGTTGAAGCTTGAAAGCTGACTCCCATTTCATACCTCAGCCAGATAATGCTATCGGAATGCTCTTAGAGCAGCTTATAGACTATTAGAGATTTCGTCTTCGACGAAGACAGTATCAATGAAGAGTCCCTGTGAAGTGTTCCAGAAACCATAACTCACAACGAGAAGTACTTCAAAAGTGACACCAGAACAATTGAAAACTGTTGCATGATTAAACAGATAGATGCCCTACACAACAGAAGGAAGTAATTCACAATATGCCATGAGGGCCGATCTACAAACCACACCCAAGCTTATATTATGGAGGAGCTGATCAATTTTTGGTAATACGGTTGGCTGATGACCGCGTTTTCATCACAATTGTTCGACAGGTTCACATTTTTACACTTATACAGAAGAGATTTCGCCATACGCCATACGAACTTGACATTCCCTTCAAAAATCACCTTTGAGGTTCTAACATACTACTTCGCGAGGCCCTTTTGTGCTTTGTCGCGAATACAAACTAGATTAGTTTTCACTTCGCTAGTCAATCTTCCCTCCACAAGTGCCACAGGTAACCAGATTTTTGGTTGAACGTCTAATATATAATACAGAAATGTTCTGTGCTCCTTCCTTCCGCCCACAGTACGGGTTGTGAAAGTCGAAGGGCCACCAACCTGCGACACAAAAATTACAAGTACAATTAATCATCAATCGTTCAGAGCAAAAGATGTTACACAAATTCTCTAATCCATCTGTGAAGACTTTGTATGATCAAATGCAGCACGCAAAAAGATGTTCCTTCGTAAAATTGGTTGCAGTACTGATCTTCTGCTTTAAGGGATGACAGTCCCAAAAAATCGCATAGCTGCTACGCTTTAAACCCTCGATCTATGACAGGGTTAGTGATTATGAAGTAAACTTAAAACTAGCGTAATACTGTTAGTGAATAACTACGTTCAAATCAAAGAGATATCAACGATCCAGTTTTACAGCTCGCATCTCTGCTGGACTAATCACATATTCACAATTCCCTTTAGAGGCAAATAATTGAATGTGGAGATGGAACCTTTTGAAAGATTGCATCAGATTGCCACTATATTTCATCACAAATGAACGGCATACTATCTGTCTAATCCAGAATTCTAATTAAAATTTTGAAATTTTGAAAAATATATGGTTTTACTTGTCAGCTCGAATTTAAAATGACCCTAAGGAGTAATATTTAACCCGTTGACCACATTGTGGCGAAGGGCAGCATAATTACATGAAAGTATTACTATTTTTTGATCCGATAACCATAATTATCAAGTCTCCAGGACTGTTCAAGAGTTAAAACGAAAAGAAAAACTTTTGAAGAACTCCTCCTGTGCTGTAAGAAATTTGACTCTGCAGCCACCTACTCCACATCGATCTAACTCTACTCCCATTCGAAGGGCCTCAATGTTCCGCTTCCCAATTAAGCATGACATAAGGGCAAAGAGGATTGACAAGGGGAGTTTACGATCTTCGACGTAAACTTCCAAAGTAAACTAATAAATAATAAACTTCCCAGGTAGTAGCTTGAGGATCACCTGCTCAATTCGCCATGTACCCTTGAAAATTTGGAAGTCTCCTTCGATAGTGTTGAAATCGATGTCTCGTCGCACAAGATTCGGGTGTACTTCACTAGGCTTCTCCTCGCAATCAACGACAGCTTTGGCTTTGAACTTCACTCCTAAGGCAATATCTTGCTCTCCGACCTTATTTTATGAAATGTAACCATTATGTCAGTCTTCATCCGAATTGGACAACACAAGAAAGCAGAGGTTCTCTAAAAAACTGAATGTCACTCGAAAATCTAGCACCTGCGGCTCTTTCACCGAGAGAAAAGAAGACCCTGAGTGTGCACCTGATAAAGGCGAGCTCCATTTCCTCTTTTTTCCAACATTTCGCTGACAGCTAGACCTGGTATGAAGTCCGCCAGCCGTTCGTAGTCGGTCAGAAGAGCCCAAACGTCCTCCAAAGAGGCTCGGATCAAAATCTTGGCGGTGATTTTCCTCTGGTTTGAACCCGTCTTCTCCACAATCACTTGCACAGCGTCTGGTCCTTGCCTTCTAATATCCTCCGACACGTCAAGGGCTACCCAATCTTCCAAAATCTGATCCCCCACATCTTCTTCACCGACCTGCACTTGGGAGTCCTCTCGACCGACAGCTTCGAGCCTAGAAAAGGATCTTTGAGCTGCTGAGGCGCTCAAATGTCCTTTCCCTCGTCTAGGTTTTCTCGCACAGTCCACATTTGTCACCAGCCCTCTCCCCAAGCCGTGTAGAAAACTTTGACCCTTCGTCGAATTCTCTGGCGGGAGAGACCTCCAGCCGGGGGATTTAAAACCACAGAACGACACAACAGAACAAGAAGGTCCGGAATTCGATTTACTCAGCAATTGTGGATGAGGTTGTTTCTCCTGTCCTCTGCATTCTATGACCGCAAGAGAGTCTCGCAGTGCAGACGGGCGCAGGGGGGCCGTTGTACCCCACATCTCAGGTGGATTTCTATCCCCCAGACACAGCTGTCACTCAATTCTCGTCTCGGCTTTTGGTCTTTTGAGCTGCTTCTTCTTGTACTTCCTGAAATGAGAGAGGTTCCACTCAATTTTCCTCAAAAATAACATTAGAATGAAAAATCATGGCCAGTTCAACACAATGGAATTCCCCTGCTGCCGAATTCTGCACTGTAAATCCCGCATACCCCTTCCCACAGTGACAGCAGTGTTACCTATCTTACTGTCCCAAAGATCTCACCCTGAGGATGATATTTCTCGATTTTCTTTTCTTCCTTTCACACTTAGACGTAGTACGTCGATCAGGTGAATTTTTTGTTGCCTACTTGACTACTTCGCGTTTCGCAGAGGCGGGATCTGCTGAATGTCAAATCTCCTGAGGAGCTGAACGTGTGTGGCTTGCTCCCTGTCACGCGAAGCCAAGCACGTTCACGCTCTGTCTTGAGCTAATTCCCAGGGACTCTTGTGGAGCTCGAGTGACGGAGACTCCCCAAGCAATCTCTGATCGTAGCACAAATGTCATGAGTATCCATGGACCCAGAGAGGTTGTCGAAGTTGTGGTTTTCCTTTACGCACTTCGTAGGAGAGTCCACGTGGCTCCTCTCTGACATTATTCTGACCAGAGATTCCACGAACACTACTGAACGGGACTGAACTTTGCCAGCTGGGCCATGGCTTGTTTTGCTTTTGGTATTCACCCAATCAGAGAGGCTGAAGTCGTGTCCGAATTGTGGAATTCCTACAATAAAGACGTGTAAGTACACGTCATCCGGCCAAATGCAATTGGCTTTTCAGTAGTTGACGCTCAGCAGTACTGTACATATTAGTTTGGAAGTACGGGTACTATTGACAAGGCTAAGTTCAATCTTCTCTTCGATACTACTGAGCCCGCAAACAATTGGTGAATTCTGAAGACCACATTTTGCGAGGTTCCTTCAGCCAAGGGGGGGGGCGTAGAAATTACTTTGAAGCTAGTAAACACGGTGATACTGGCATGATGGAAATGTTGTCAAAACCGGTGAAGGAACAGGTATGAGTTCTCGGAAGAAACACGTTTTTACTTGACCTTCAAACAGGTAGAAACATATAGGTAACAAACGTTATCCACCATTATGTTCCAGTAATTTCATATCAATCTTGGATAATTAGAATGTGCTGGACAGAGACCGTGCCTGCCCAATGGGAGCAAGCTGAAAATCATGAAACGTCAAAAGAACCCACTCATTCTCACTGAAGATCCTCAATGCTATGAAAATGGAGTACTCCAAAAAAAACTAAATCCTCAGACGTCTGTACCATCTTTGTGATCAAGACTGAGTCCACACATGTGAAGGCACATACTTTAGTTACTTGTTGTCAATGGATGGTGAATCCGAATAAATGTCATACATCAAGTTGTGAAGACGGAAACAAATGGCAAGAGTTCCTCATCATCCCTTCTATACAAACTGCAAAGAACCATAATCGTCACGAAGGTGTTCGGAAACGTAATGAGCCAATGGAACCGAGTTCAGTAGGTGCACATCATTGACCGGACAGATGGGCTAGAAGCTTCTGGTTCTCGTAGATTCTCCACATGCTTCAGCCAAACGGACATCGATCATAAAACTGATCTCGCAGGAATAGCTATTCTCAATCTACCTGTGTACTCAAGTTCTAGAGATGCTCAAAGACAGCGAACTAGCTGTCAAGCGTCTAGATTGCAACCGAAGGACCTGTCACATTACATAAGAAAAAGCGAAACTTGACTGTCAACTTCATCGTTGACCAATTTCTAGAACATCTGCAGTTGCACAGCTGTGTGACTATACAAATACCAGCCAGGCATCAGGGTTCGTTTATAAGACACAACGTGTGTGGACCTAAGCCTGGATGACTGAAATCATACGAGAGAGGGAAAGAAATTAGGAGTTCAGATCCCGTCCACCAGGAGATACATATTCAAATGCAGATGTATTTCTACCAGAGTAACCACTTTCTCTGTGTAAGACTATATTCGAAAATTCCCGTTGGTTGCTTCACCAGAAAACACACCTAGAACGGTGAAATCCTTGCATCTACAATCGCCCGGAGAGACAACGCAATCGGTGGCTCTTTATGAGAACTGGCAAAATTGAAGGCTCGTCGGAGTAGACACTTACCTCCGCATTCTGCCTCGATGGGTACAGTACAATATGATACAAGCTGCTTCGAGGTCAGAAGGCATGACTCTGGTTATACGACGGCTCCAGTGCTACAACAAATACACAGGAGCATAGTGAACTCGAAGTAGACTGAAGTTACTCAATCTCATGATAAAGGTACTCGCTCATCGTAGTTTATGGCAATACGGAGCTGACCCAGAGTTGGGGAGAGCTGTCTGCTATAAACAGACTGTACCTCATCACCATTCAGCCTATATGGAGATCATCCATCGTAACTGATAACTCCTCAAATCTAATAAGTTCTTCCCCCGTAACCCCCACCTCCACCTCCACCTCCACCTCCACCTCCGTAACCTCCACCACCACCTCCGAAGGACTTTCCACCACCTTGATTCGGGCAGTCTCTTGCAAAGTGACCACCTTGCCCACATTTGTAACATCCTCCGCCTCCTCCTCCTCCTCCTCCTCCGCCTCCTACACCACCACCACCTCCTCCTCCAAAACCACCAGACTGACTTTGATTCGTGCAGTTAGAGGCAAAGTGCCCCTCTTTACCACATTTGTAGCACTTGACCGTATTTCCTCCACTCGAACCTCCGCCATATGGGTTGCTAGCCCCGTTGGCGTTATATCCACCTGTGTAACCAGCAGAGCCACCATACCCACCGGCCCCGTTTGCAGAACTTCCCCCATAACTCCCACCGTAAGCTGGAGTCTGATATGCTGGAGGTGCTGAGCCATAGACGGCTGTACTTGCAGGTGTAGCAGAAGGTATTGATGGAGCATTAGGCATTTCTCCTCTTTCAAGCTGTTTGATTAACTCCAGTATCAACTTGCTCTCTGCTGGAAATTCGACCTTGTCCGATTTTATCACTGTACATTTCACTCGCTGCTCATCGTTGAAAGTCTCCTCCTTCACTTTGAGCTTAAACACGTGAGTTGAAAACAAAACCCTTTGGATTGTATCTCCAAAGGCAGGATCCTCGTGTTCTTTGTAGTGGAACAACTCCTCGGCGCCCACCCCGAAAATTTCCTTCCCGGCTTCCTGAAAACCACTGATCCAGGTGACACCAGTGTGATCTTGAATCTGCATTTGAAGGAGATACCTGTAATCAGGTTTTGGTACCGACTGATCACAACGATCACATCTGTAGCTCCCATCTCCGTTGTTTGTGACCTTTTTCTGGCATTGCTTGTCTCCTATCATTATAGGACATGCCGTGTAACAGAAATTATCTGTCTTGATAAATGATATTGTTGCTCTGACAGCTATCCAATCCGGCTTCTCACCTCTTCCTAGGCCTTCGTCTTTTATCTGAGCAACGGTCTTTCGTGAGTCCACGCGAGTTCCTGTGCCCCCTTCTCTGGATATCGACTGGGCATCTGTAACCTTACCTTCTCGATCATACCATCCTCTCAGCTTGTGGGCTTCTGAGATGTCTGGGTTCATCAAGATCTGTGATGAAGATATCGTGCCCAGAGACTTACCGCTGAAGTCACTGACGCGAGCAGCTTTGACAGCCACGATGGGAGAGACCCCCTTGTAGAGAAGTTCCTGGATTTGGTCACCTTCTTTATTACAAAATCCACCCCACATAGTAAGTTCTACGCTCTTATTAGACTGGTCCCTGAGCTGTAGTGTGCGCTTCAGGGTTTCTGTTCCATTCTTCCTCATTATTTGCACGGTGTCTTGGATTCCAATAACAACACCCACTACGTCCACCATGGCATTCGACTCCAAGTTCTCAACGTCACTGATAGGTCTGAAGTCAAAATGTTGTTGGGGGATCATGTCATCCTCTTCCGGGCAGGGGTCGATAGTCGACGAGTTCTCTAGAAATATCTCCCAGTCATTCTTGAGATGGTTGAAATTCTTTTGAGCTGGTTTCAGAGCTCCTTTGGTTACCATATAGACTCTCCCGACATCAATGCGATCATAGAACTGATCAGCCACACTGTTAAAACACGTGCATCGAATCTCTCCGCCTTCGCGATCGAGTAGATCGAACGAAAACACTTTGCCATCTCCTTTTGCATTATTGTACCTTCGAAGTTCACCTTTGGAAGTAACTCTAGCCTTGATCGTCCACCTCCCTTGGTATGGATTCAGTGCTCCAATAGGAACTATCCTAGCAGGGGCCTCATTCTTTGCAATAGGACCCTTCGCAGAGTACTGTGGGGTGGGCACTTGATACGCAGGAAGTGGTTTCCCATAAGAGCTCTGCTGTACAGGAGCTGCCTGCCCACCGATTTGTCTTTGCCCCTGATACCCACCTGATGAAAGTGGAGCCGCCGGATTAGGACCCGAGAGGTAAGAATTTTGACCACCAGGGTTCTGACCTCCATAACCTCCTCCATTCATGCTCGAAGGCTTTGGGTCGCCTCCTGGTCTGTATCCGTTGCCATTCCCCATGCTCCCATAGGAAGACTGTTGAGGTTGGTTTCCCATTGTCGGGAAAGATGATTGTTGAGGAGGGACAACAGGTGATGGAGGAGCCCGCTGCTGTTGCATGACTGATGGAGGTTGATGCAGTTGCTGAGGAGCAGGAACTGGTTGTTGTTGTTGTTGCTGGAGTTGCTGCTGGTCTGTTGACCCACTAATCTGGTTCTTTGGATCCCCAACGATTTCGGCAATCGACTGCACTACTTCCATGTTCAAGACAATGATGATTCTGCAGGGTGAAGTACGTCACAAGTCAAGGAGGGTACAACGATGACATGCACTGATTCTTGAACGCTATGGGCTCTGCAGAAAACAGTTCTCATCTTTCACTCGGTTCCCAAATTATCCGGCATCAGCTTGGCAGAGCATCTCACGTGTAACATTCACGGCAGAAAAAATCGAGTAACGGAGAACTTTTCTTGCATTGATAAACCTCTAGCCTGTAAGCCTCTATAAGCACTCGGCACAAAAATGAGAATAATACATCATCACCACGACGCAGTGCATCTGCGTGAGAAGCGAAGTGCTGCTTCGCCAAAGACTCTCACGCACGAACATACACCAAAGCGTTCATGGCAGAAACAACCCCCCAAATTGACTTACTTTCGATTTTGCACACTATTGCAGATGTACTCCAAGAGCTGCACGATGGAGCCTTTCTGCACTTGCCCATTCTTCACATATTCATTGAGCTGAGTAGCCAACATCGCCTGCTGCACATAAACACTGTCGGACAGCACTAATCGGTACCTCTCCTGCACGGTCTGCGCATTCCCAATCTGCCTAACATCCATGACCTGCAACACGGGCCGCAAATCCACATCCCCATTGTTCAGCTGCAAAATCGCGTTCTGCGTTATTTTCGACGTCATCGCCGCAGGTTTCTAATAAACCCTCCTCGAAAACTCAAACCTCCTCCCACAGCGCCTCGTCCTCGGTGTGAAAATCCACGCGTTCAAACCACACCTTCCTCGAGGTTCCTTCCTTCACAATCTCTCCTGCAGCAGTTGCAAAACACGCTGACACTTCTTCCTCGCCATGTGGTGAGTCCCATCCAACATTCTCACCGCTTCTCGACCTCGCCAGCACCGAAATGCGGCACTCGTCGACCGCAATCGCCTCCACCGCCTCTCGATCCGCACCAATTCGATCGAGCGCCTGTTCTTGGCAGCGAGAATTCTCGCGCGAGCGCGCCGCCGTTACCGCGAGCCGGTGAGGAACGCCATGAATTGAATCGCAGCGCAGAAGAGCGCGGGTCAACATTCTCCTTCCTTCGGTTCGCGCAAGCTTCAAATCACCCGCAGCCTCGGTCCCTCGAGCAGATGGCGGGACGCTTCCACGTCAAGCTACTTCACTGTACACTACGGCGTCCTGCACGCCGTTCGTCGAACTCTCTCCGTTCCCATCCGCCAGGTTTTATCTCTCTCTCTCTCTCTCACTTGATCCATCTCCGCACCGTCCAATATCTCCTCCGCTACTTCGTACCTCCGATCTATCGCAGTTAACCTAAACCACGACCATAGAAAACTTTGAGATCAACTCGCTCACGTTCCGTATAAAATTGCTTGATGGAAATCGAGCAAATGTTGTGAACCAACATAATTCATTTTATCGCATGGGACCCACACTCGCCCAATACGCCTTTTGGGTTAGTTACAACCCATTGTATATAACAAGTAACAGTTTTGAAAGTTCAAAACACGTCAAAGAATCACCCACAATCATGACTATTTAGACATATTTCTCAATATAAAGGGACGAGCTCAAAATTCTGGTAAGTGTAACAAAACACTCAAATGATGAGAACAACAATAAAGAACGAGTGAGACAAAGAGTACGATCTTAGGTTAAGTTTATCAATGTCAAGGTGTTCATGATGTTACTTTTCGTCGCGACAATCCATTTATATGAATATCATTCGCTGATGCAAATCAAGAACACATATACATGAAATAGTCGATAGAATAACTCAAGGAAATGAAAGTATTTAGCTCAATTCATTCTAAGATATGTTTGAAGAACTCATCATAGGGTAACATATGCAAAATCTCTTTCAAGTTTTGAAAAAGTATCATTGTTTTAACTCGATTTTATTTTATTTTTATTGAGTAATGTACAAAAAATTCCCACATAGCACTACTAGAGTTAATTTGCTGATAAAATCATTCACAAGACAATTATGTATTATGAATGTTCATTTTACATTTGATCATAGTCTTTCTTTCTAACATACATCCCATTTACATGGAATTGATTATTGAAATTTTTTAATATCTAATTACAAAAAAATTTGTTGGTGTATCATAATTCTGATAATATCTTAATTTGGAGGAGATACTTACAGTTTCATGAAAAAATAAGTTATAGATACATGACATTGAAAAAATTGAAATAAATTATTGCAATCAAGAATAAATCGAATAAGGAGTAAAATTAAGTGTAAAGGAAGAAAATTTTAAAACAAATTTGAGTTTTCATATTATTTCCTTCAAATAAAATTTATAAGACTAAATAATAAAAAAATTAATTACTCTAAAATTTAATATTCTTATTGCAAAATTTTACTATTCAGATATTAGTGCATGGGATCAAATTTAATTAACCAATATCAATTAGTTCATTTCTAGTAAATTCAGAAGTTATCTAATGACATGGTGTTCTTTTAGGTGTAGAAATGAATGATTTAATAATATTCTTAGCTCTTAAAATGTGTTGAAGAGAGGTGTTAGAATTTGGAAGTATTTTCACACAACATATATGTTTAATTGTATGTTTCACAATCTCAGCAGTGTTAATTTCCACCAAAGCAATTGACAGGTTTTTGAAAAAAATTCCTCAACAATTTTTATTCAGAAAAAAGGTTTCACATAAATTTTTTACAACTGCATACAAACTGACTCATTAAACTTAGATAATATCTTGGACTGGGTTCATTATAGATTATCATACTCAATAATATTACGAAGCTAACAAATCTTTAATAAGAATGTGTCATTTATAACACTTGTTATTTTGAAAATACATGAAGACTGAAGATGCTTGGTTTAGTTTTCTAGATATCAAATATTGTCTCTATGCCTTATGGAGTTATTCTTAGTTTTTATATATTTTGGAGTGTTTTTATATTTATATAATGCTAGGAACGAATTTACAAATTGTGATGAATAATTAGATACTTTAGATTTCCGCAAATGAAAATTGTAATAATAAGATGATGTGGAACTAGTGAAAAGTACTATTCCTATATGCAAATTATGTTAACCATTCTTCGTTACCATTTCTTGTGGCACGTCTTTCTTATTAACGTTATTTGTCGATAGTAGCTTTCAAAGAGCCTACAAGTAGATTTTGGAATTTTTTTTACCTCTTTCTAATGGAGAGTATTAAGGAGTCCATTCAAGTCTATTTTCAGGGAGAGTTTAATGTATTTTCTTTCTTTCCTATGTTTCAGTTTCAATAGATCTGAATGTTTTCATGCCTAAATTGCAGATAGAAGTTATTCGAAGTATACGTGTCCTTCAGACTTGACCAGGAGTCGTAAAATTTGGCGTTTTCTTTTTAGACAGAATTATCAAACTGCCATACGTTATGAAGACGGCGTGCCACAGTGACTCTCGCGCACGTCATAGTCAGAAAGCATTTGGACGCTGGAAGTGGAAGAGGAGCGAATGGGGAGGGAGCGAGCGAATGGGGAGGAGCGAATTAGCTCCAGTCGTGAGCTGCTTCATGATGAAAAGCGTGTGTGCTCTCGGGAAAAGTCTCGTGAGTGTGGTGTTGGCAAATGGGGAATGGGAATGCGCAATGAAAATAAAGTAAAGTGATGTGATAGGACATCAGAAGGAATTTCGAAAAAAGATGACTGTCGCACTATCCTGACGAGACTTTCCTCGGTGGCAATTATCATAACTAACAACACTTATCCGTTCAGAATTATTATCGCCAAATCACTGGATGAGAATTGAAATGAAAATGTTCATCATAGATAGATGTGACGTGTACTATACTGCACGTGTGTCTTTCGTCTACCACTACAAGTCTGTTTATTCGACAAAGTATCAGTTTAGTGTTATTTCTGTTCATCTTTTCACCTCGAGCTCGAATTGCACATTTCTAGGAATACTTGAATCTCTGGAAATGGCAAACCTCGCATTTGACAGAATTTAAGAGTACTGGACTAGACATGATGTCTTTTCCGTTTACCCACCCTGTCTTCACTCCCCAGTAGCGAACAATCAATTATCACGCACAGCAGCCCTTTCATTCCGTCATATCCAAAAACTCACTGAAATTTCCGCCTGGATATAACTGCTGCAATAGGTATTAGTTGGTGCTCAATGTATTGAAAGCTGGTAGGAAATTCAAAACCACCGTCACGACATGCATGGAGATCTCAGATCTGACTTTAACCAACGTGACGATCTTCTCCATAGATTATGTGATTTGATCTATAGAACCTTAACAGGGACAAGGAAATAAAGATTCCTCCAGTAAAAGTCAAGGTTGTGAAGGGCAGTCTTCTTCATGTGGTGGCCGAAGACCAAAACAGGAAGACACGAAGAACATCGACAGACCAGCACACAAGCTCTTTGATCATTACGAACCACATTGCACATGTAGCATCATACAACAGGTGGCAATTACCACCGAAGAGAAAACATGCCCTGTTAAATTGATACCCAAGAAGATAGACGAAGCAGAATTTGCCATTGTTAAAATACAGAATGTATCCTCGAACCAATGAGGTGGGCAATCTACGCTGACAGCCATTAAATACCTAAAATTAGCTTCACAAAAACTGTGCTGCTGCTTCAAGACAAACTCGAAATAAGATCTTTCAAAACTGTTCGAGTTGCTTGACACAGATAGGATCCCCTAATGTCAAACCTCACTAAGAAGGTAATACGTCAACCTCAACCTGGCAGACAGTAAAAGACGTGCAAGGGCCATGCTTGCTAGGGCATGATGAAAAAGAATATTCCGCATCTTGCTAGGTGGAGATTTGACCTGCCGTCCACTGCAGATCAATCGAAACCCACGAACTGTGCATTGCTTATGCCATCGTGCATATAGGCATCCTCCGGATTCAGATACCAAAACAGTCATTCCTGATTGGATCCCCGTCGATCGATTTTCACTACTTTACCGACACCGCCAACCACTCTGGCCCAATAAGGTGAACTGAGGTGAGGGCCCAAACCAATCATGTGTATCTAGGCGAGCTCGAGTCCCAGTGCCATGCGCTAAAATGGACCGACTAGGTCGGATCACGAGAATCAGAAAGCAATGCTTCAAGAATCAGGAGTACGAAACTCAGTATCTCAGTAGAGCCTACTACAAACCTGTGGCTGAATAAGCAAGGTCCTTTCAAGTAAGATAATAAGGAACAAAGGCAACCTTCAATGGCTATGACAGACTCCAGAATATAGTGCACAGTCCCACTTTTCGGCGCAGTGTGCCTCCGTGTCAAAACAGTGGACTAAGAATCTGGTTCAACGCCCACAGTGTTACCCATGCCATGAATGTTAAAGCTCCACCATCCAATCTTCTACCATTTTCGTCAAACTTGTTATGTACACTCTTCTCAGGCCAACTGAGGGCCACAAATCTGATCTACTCTTTCTGCCTACACAATCAGACAAGCCTCCTAAAGGCCAACTTTTGGCCTTAACTACCAACTGCCAGTTCCAGAGACAACCCCACTGCCGGCCCGTCATTATAATCAGTTGGTGCTTTCCCTCAACCTGCGACTCCCCATCAGTAATTGTTGGCCCACGTCTGTTGGGTACGTTGTGGTTGCTGATAACCACCGGCTTGCCCTCCGCCGGCACCTTGCGCACCAAGACCCTGGGGCTGTTGAAGCAACTGATGGGCTGTTGGAGCTGGTCCAGACTGGGAAGGATGGTACAAATTAGCATATGCCCCAGGATGAGCATGGGCATGAGTTGGCTGCTGAGTGTGAGCATACGCTGTATGCTGGCCTTGCTGCGCCAAATTGTAATACGAACTGGTCTGCATACCTGCTGCAGCCATGTCTCGTGACAATTGGGCTTGGATCCAAACACCAGACTGTTCCCCCTTCACATGCAAATAAAAGATAATGTCAGGTACATGTGAGACTTTAACATTACTGTCCGATTCGACTGAACAGTTGATCCATGCGAAACGATTGATAGGGCATTTTCTCACAGCCTGAACCAACACTGTCGTACCTGCTGGTTTGGAATATACAAGTTGTTGTCCTTGTATTGCTGAGGCACATCGTCATACCCAGTAGCACTCCCACCAGTTACTGTAGGATTGGCTGCATAACCAGATGGCGCGGTTGCATAACCTCCATATCCTTGCGCGGCAGCTGAATGGGGTGCATTACCAGTAGCAGTACCAGGTTTGTACTGCGAGAGTTGATATTTTACAGTGGCGGCACCCGCTGGGGTGTACGAACTTGCAGCTGTAGGAGGATAACTGTTACCTGCAGGGGGCTGTGGATAGCCACTCGTGGTTGTGTAGTTATGCTGGTAAGGAGCGTGAGTGTGCATGTAGGCAAAGCTTGGAGGTAGATACTGATACCCAAACACATTGGCGAAATGATGCTGAATGGGAGCTCCAGTAGGTTGGCCTGTGTAAGCGTGCAGGGGCAAAGGCTGTTGTTGTGGCATTGTTTGAACAGTTTGTGTGTTACCAGTCTGTGAGGTTTGAGCGGATGACACAGAGGAGGGCATTCCGGTGTTCCCCGTCTGCAGAACGAAGATAGAAATTGATTTTTTAGACACCGTGCAGGAAGCAGAAGACAGTGCAGTAACAGTACAATCAGTCAAACACAAGTAGTAGAAGTGTGTCATAGTTGGTTAGTAGACACTAAACGTTCATGAAAAGGAAGAAAGAACCCCCATGAACCTGGACAAGAAACTGATAACTCCAATCGAATATGCATTATGTAGCAACAAACCACAATTACAACTCACCTCTTGAGACGACGAGATAGTTTGACCCGCCAGATTAATCAGCCCTATGTTTCCGTTGTACTTGCTTGAAGGATTTGAAGGCATGAAGGGCGGGTAGCGCGCATCCCCGTCTGAAGTTGGTCTGAAGGGAGGAGTGTAGTAGCTCGTGGTAGGATCCGTATACGGCTGGATAGTTTAATAACACAAACGATATCGTTATAAACGATAACCATCTGACCTGAAATGCTAATTGATTGAACAAGTACGAAAACATGATAACGCCAGCCAGTTGAAACAACTAGCGCAGAGGAGATCTAGAACAATTCATAAAGCAACTACGTAATACATTCCCACATATAAATACAGGGTTGGTGATCCAAATGAACCTGGATGTACTATGACAAAAAGGAAGAACTTAAAGGAACTAAAAGGACAGACATCCCAGTCCCAAATTCGGTGGAGTTCTTACCATCAAACTAGGCAGCCTTGTAACATCCTGGGGCTGGGTTTCCGCAGGCTCGTAGGCATACTGTCCGGCAGGCATTTGCGGCATGAGATTGAATCCCGCATAATTCGTTACTGTTGGCAGATAAGGGTAAGGAGGTCCTTGATGTACGATAGGATCTGCTTTCGGAAGCTCGGGCTGCGGTGCAACAGGTGGTCCCATACTCACAACAGCAGTGTCGATGTTTGAAACCAAGTTCTCTTCTGGTACAGAAAAGGTCTGGCTCAAAGCTGCTGGTGCAGGACTAACCACACTGACAACGAGAGATAAGATTATGAAATTTGTCACTGTAAGGCTACGGAAATTTTTTTAAAAGTGAGTAGAAGGTGGGAACTGCACGCAATCGAAAATGGAGACGCATGACATATGCCGAGCGAAAATCAACATAGCAGCCAAAGTACCTAGTGGTGTTTTGCTGTTCCACTGGGGGCTCATTAACTGGTATAGTCTCAGCAATCGCAGTGGACGCCTTCTCCTCATTACCATAACTTGATGAAAAGCTTGTGCCAAACCCTGCCCCAAAGCTTCCAAAGCTCAAGTGCGTTCGTTCGGACTCTGGAACCTGGAGATGGTTGGGGATGATGACAGGCTGGTCGTCATGAATATTTAGAGACTGCAGCTTTGATGTTTGCCCTGACAGTACCGAGTCCACGGACCCCGAAGGTGGAGAAGACCTAACTGAGTCTGGCTGTGAGGGTGTATTCACTCCACCCATATTGGCAGTGCTCGTCACGGCGGGCTTCGGTTTCCATTCCAAGCCAGCTCCAGTAGCTGAAAAGGCAAAGATTCTACAGGGATTAATGACTGCACATGGCACAAATCAATGGTAGGTGATGGAAACGAGGTTGATAAAGAGAAAAACCGGACAAGGACAACTGAAATCAGAAGTAACTTCGTTCTACATGGTTAGGTGCACAGATCAAAAGTCCACGTCGTGTGAAGCTCGCAGCGGAACCCACATCGCTTAATACGGAGAAACTCATCTGACGCAGAACGATCCAGTTGCGAAATAGACACAGGAAGAAAAAGTTATCTGAGAAAAATTCACCTTTTTGGGTTCCGACTGGATGTTGTTGTGGTTGATATACAGGCCTGGTACTGAATGGACCGCCAACAACTACTGACCGTGAACCAGGGGCAGCACTTGAAGGTGCACTAGCACCCTGTCTCGGTTGAGTGCCCGCCGATGTATCAACAGAACTAGGATGAGAAGCAGGCCGATCTTGGTGAATGGGGGGTGAGGCAGAGGCAGGTGGAGGACTGCTTGGTCTAGCAACCTGATTCTCAAGTTCCAGACTAGGCGCAGCAACTGACGGCGGAATACTGGATTGTGAAATTGGTTGCAGAGATTGTGAGGGGACTGCAGAGGCCGCTGTAGCATCCAAATTCAGTGAACTGGTAGGCCAGTCTGGCTTTGGACGAGTCGAACCAACAGTCCCAACCTCTCGTTTAATTGCACCTGGTGTTCCGGTGGCACGAGGGTCAAGGGATGGATGTAGAACCGGATCTGTTGACGACGAGTACACACCAGATGAAACAGATGGGGTTGCGCTTGGGGGCGAAGAAGTGTATTGCTGGGGAACGGAAGAAGGAAGAGAGGTCCCCACTGGTGCAGTCGCCGGGGGAGCTGTAGGAGGAGGTACTGATGGAGGCGGAGGGGCACCGTTTGCTTTCACAATGTCAGCCATCGTGGCGTGCCCAGAGGATGACGCGCCCCACGTGCTTTGAGGCACTGCCGCAGGCCGTGAAAACCCTGAGCTCCCATTTTGATGTCCAGTTGCGCTGGCAGTAGTCGACGCTGGAGCTGCGCTGCTGCATTTAGAGATTCCATTCCAAACTAGTTGTGAGAAGTATGTATATCGCTAACACGATATGACAACCTAGACAAGAGGTTCAATTTTCCGCATTTTGCAAGGCTCCAAGTTATTATTCAGTGACAAGTTCCGAATAATAAGTAACACTATTCGAGTTATCCTGGACAGCGTCGCAGTGTATACCAAAACATACTTCGCTGTTGTATTCGACGAGACTGAAGCCTTACCTCAAGCCCGACGATGGGTATGCCTTTTGCTGGCCATAAGTTGGCATGGTTGACGAAGACGGACCACCATATGTACTGGAAGCTCTATTTACACTGCCGTTTTCACGTGGTGCAAAAGACTTTCCACGACCACCGTTGAATTCTGCAGAAACATGCAATGCCCGCTGGATAGATTAGTAAATGAATAAGTCGACAAGAAGCAGCTCACTCCGAAGGTTCGTTGAGTTGTCAGAACAATGTAACATGTGAAATTTTACGCACGTGTGAGGTGCTATGTTTCGAGTCCATGATTACTAATTGTTCTAAGAAGTTCGCAAAACGAAGTGAGACCTCTTAACCGAAGTGTCAAGAAGTAACAACGACTAGACAATGTTTCCTGTACAATTACCTCTAAGACGAGGCTATGACACGAGAAAACCTTCCAACAGATAAATTACAAGAAGAACTTTTCGCATAAAAACCTGCTTGCGAGTAATTACAAGTGGTGGCCCAAATTGATTCACGTTTTGAGCACGTGATTCAAGCATCACGTGTTCAAAACAGTGCTGAGTCCACGAACGACAATCTTGATCGAACATGACAAGCGACCCCTTAGCTACTCTTGAGTGAAGATTATCAATGAAGAAAGAACTCGTTACCTCGCTAACAGGTGTCACTGGCACCTAGGAAGTCGCTTTTTCAGAGCTCACCATTTAGCAAGACAAGAGTCTAGAAAGAGAAATTAAAAACTAAGGCAAGGGGCATTCAAACATTCGCACATTCCTACGGCCACAATAGTTGCAGGTAATAACAGTTAGATGTATGAATAGCACTCAACGAGAAAGGCACCCGGCATGTTCCACACGTACCATTTGTATTGTGCCGAGGCAATGAGCTTCCCCTCCCAGAACCACGATCGATCATACCGCCCCTACCACCACCTCTCCCTTGGCTTCCACTGGCAGGCCTCGATCTGTTGTTGTCTGTTGCATCCTTGTTTCCCTGTTCATAAAGTGAGAGGAAGAGAGTGCACTAGCAGTAAGCTCAGCTTGTTCTTCTCAGCAGAATGTGGAAGGGTCAAACAGCTTGAACAATCTCATTACTAAGTTTCTAAGACTGGGAACACTCAGCTCGGCAGGTGCCCAACTCTTCTCTAATGCGGATAGTCCTCCTGATAATCAAGAGATTTCAACCAAGGCAGGGTAGCCGCGCACTTCACTCCAGCTCCTACAAGCTTTATACCAACAATTCGTGTAGAATCCAGCACAGCCATGATTCACCAAACTCAAGTAGCAGCTCGACATTTAGAGCCCGTTCATATTCAAGAGCCCTTCAATTGTATACCAATAACAGGGCGATTCCGTATTATTGAAGACAGCCAGATATACAACTGTAAACGAACTCACCTCTTTCTTCTTATCTCTTCTACGCTTCACTTCATGAAATGGATCTGCGTCATCAACGCCAGACGCTAGATTAAGAGATGAAACCTAATCAGTATGACAACCAAAAACTCGACCAACGACTCAAAAGGTAATACAGAATTGAAATCAGTTCGAATTAAGTGAGAAAATGTGCACAAGAGCAAAGTTCTAGTGAACATCGGGTGACTATTTCGATAGCTTTGAAGCCAGAGCCCACTATGCAGATCCAAAAATAAACTAACAGATCTTGTTTAGTTGATATTATGCACAGAATGCAAAAGGATTCACATAAACCTGAAACCTCAGACTTGCTACGTCGGGCTCAGACGTCTCGGCATAAGGAGCTATGGATACTAAATGCTCGCACAAGACGAACAGTATGATACGATGTTGTCCACAACTAGCTAAGATCAGGTCCTGAGACTAGAAGTAGGAGGTAATGCGTAGGAACGTCAAGCAAGTACATGTGCCTCAATCACATCAGACAAGCTTAAGTAACGATATCCGGAGGCCAAGATCTGTCATAAGATCAATTTTTTGTGACTACGCGAATATAAGATAATGCTACCTCAGGAGCATGCGTCTCCCGAGAGCTTACAGGAAACAGAGAGAGGGCGGAACCGTTCTATCGCAGAATCTCTTTATCCAATTGGGCATGAGTGAATCGACAGGCATCGGGGATCCCTAAAAGCTAAGAGCGCGTTCCGGAAGCGAATGTAGGTCTCAGGGTGTAACGCCCTAACCAGCAACTTTCCTCGACACGGCAGAGCACGGTGATACCGCAAGGACCATGACATGTCCGGCGCAGGCGTTTCAGCGTTCCTCGATGCAGGCAGAAGAGGTAGTAAAGAACAGGCTTAGTCAGCGACATAGGTCAAGTCCACAGCAGGATCACTGCAGTCGGGAACGCAAGCGAAAGCGGCAAAGCAGGGAGCAAGGGTAAGAGAAGTACCCTGGTTGAGGAGTCTTTGCACGGTCTCGTTGGCATCCATGTTGCACTCCTTCAGCATCGCATAGATCTCGTCCTCGCTATTCGGGACTATTTCCCGAAGACTCTGAACCGTCTTCCGGGCATTGGCGGGAATCGCCGCGGAGCCTGAACCGCCCCCCGCCCTACTGCTGCTCATTGTTCGAGCCTACCCTGCGGCCTCTTACTCTTGTGATTCCAGCACCAACTTTTCTTCTGCGACACAAATCGTGTTTTCACCCGACTCGACACAGGACACCAACTCGCAACCGAGCGTTAGGGCGGAGGGTGCACACAGGCACGAAGAAGTGATGCACGCATACCCAGAACCTGGCTTCCCTGTGTTTATCTACAACAACAATCGAAGACCCCTGCGATGGAGTGTGTCCGAATCGAAGCCGCCACTACCGTTGGCGCTATCCAGGATCTCTCTCTACCTTCGCGCTCCTCCTGCTCGAGGCGGGCTTTGTGCTCACGAAACGCAGAGAGCGTCCGAAGGAGAAGAAGAAGAAGAGGCAGCAGCAGCGGAGAAAGAAGAGAAGAAAGAGGAACTCTAAAGAGTGGGAATCGCGCAGCAGGAGGGGGACGTGAAAGTGTGACCAGCAGCGAAAGCAATGCAAAAGGCAGCAGCCTGAGGGCCCCGGGACGACGAACTCTCCTCCCTCCTCTCAGTCTACGACAGCATGCGTCGCGTTTGATAAACAAACACGAGCCCTGCTCGCCGTTCCCCCGTCTACCCAGCCCTAGCTCGACGAACCTTATGCGGCCGTCCGGCGCCTCGACATTTCGTCCGAGCGGGAACTCTCTCACCCACCGTTATGCGTCGATGTGCGCGCAGGCCCCGCCGCATCTCCGCCGTCCGATGCCCATCGCACGGCCGCCCGCTGTGACAACCCCGTCCACTGTGCGGGCCAGGGCGCCCGGGCGAGTAGTATGTGGTCAGCCCCGTCAGCACAGGACTGAAGCAAATCCACGTTCTCGCCCCGCATACTAACCGGCGACCTAGTTTCCTCCCCTCCGCCCGCCGGCACCTGGCGGTCGCTCGTCTCTCCCCCGCTCTCGCCCCGCGAAGACCGACCGGCGCTCGCAGGGAGCAACTCGGTAGACGGTGGACCACTCGGTGAGGCGAACCCGTCCAGACGGGTACGCGGTGGGCCCGGCAGCGGTCGCCGCCGGGAGCGAACTGCTTTTCAGCACTTTCCCGGCAAAATGACGACAAAACCCACGCCGTCCGAAATCGCCCCTTCCGGGTCCAACCGAGCCTGCCCGGCATTGCGTTTCCCGGCCAGTCGGGCCCCCCCGCTATAAACAAGTTGGCAGGAGCGGCGCCGAGATGCACATGGATCTCCAACCGTTGGTTACTCTCTGCCTTCCACGGTTTCAAAGTGCCCCGAGCCCGTCAGCAAGTGAGCTTCCGGGTACGGAGAGTAACTCGGCGACTATTCATGACCTTGCAGCCAGCCAGCTGCTGCTGGCTGCACTTGCCCACTGCAGCTGCTCACTCCACTCGATACGCCACTGCACATTGCTCGATTGCAATAGATAGACAGACGCGCAGGTCTCACTCTTCCTCGCTCCTTTCCTCCGTAACCGAACTGTGTTCATGTGTTCATGTTCATGTTCCAGTCAAGGCCCAGATGTAGATTCCAAATTTGCGCTCCTGTTTTTGGCTCGCCACGTCGATGTGTTGTTGACATGTCCGTGTGGCATTGGGTACAAACGGAGATCCAAGGAGTTGTTGAGCAGACAATATCGCCAGGGTCCTATTCGAGGTTTCGCCAACTCTTCTTTGTCAGTCCTCCGGAGGCCTACCCCATGGTCGCCCCTAACTCCCATGGTTCCTTTAGCTCATGTGGTCGTTCTGAGCAACTTTCGGTTACGAGCTATGTCGCGTGCCCTCTCCATCTTGCCCTTCAAATAATTTGCGCAGTGTACCCAATATTTAATTCGAACAAGCTAAGCTCAAGCTTAGTATATGGCTCATCCTGTAATCACTACGTGTCCGAAGACTTTGAATGTTCGGCTCTTCTTGTGGTAAACTAGATAAGACGTGATTGACCTAAAATGGAACCCCTGCGCCACCGCATGATAAGATCGTTCTTAAGTCTTTCTAGATTCGCAATTACTATACGGTTTGTGTATTCCATATTTTAATATTATTTTATATTTTACATGTATGTATATATAATTACTGCCAGTCCGATCCGAAACAACAGTTAGCTTCTTTAACTTCGGTTTCGAGCCCTTCTGGTTATCACATCCCGTTCGGTCATATTTTGATGTTTATACTGTACCTGTGTCTGAATGTAGGCCCATTTTTCATTCCGACACTTGACCCGCTTCCCAAAACACCACTCCCATGATACCTATAACTACATGAGAGACCTAAATTTAGTATCGCTTGGTTTTACTTCTATCTTCAACACAAAAGGCCTGCAGTTAAAGGTTTGTTAGATTTTCTCGTAGCTCATTCATACATTGTGACAAGTAAAACTTTCATTATTTCAGATTTACAAACATTTAATGTAATTGCCACATCAAGTAAAACTCAAATTTTTGCAAAGTAAAACTGTGCATTATATATTGATACCGTAATTTATTTAATACTCCTAAAGTAGAAACATTGATTTCAAAGTAAATAAATACAATTTAATTTCTTATGCTTTTATCTTATTAAAATATGTTTTAATTTTGAATGAAGATAACTTCTTTCAAATATTCCTAAAAAAAATTTGTAATGAAGGGTTTCAAGATAATCACATATTAAAATCTTATATTATTCAAATGAATGAAAAATTTTTAAACAATCTAACATATATAAGCTTTTATTTAATATCAATCGAAATAAATTAATTATCATACAAGTAAATGAAAAAAAAATCTTCCTAATTTATTCCAAACTATTATAAAAAATATTCCAGCTTGCACATTTCTTATCTCATATTTCAACCTTATTTATTCATACAACAAATAAATTCAATATTATATTTTAAATTGTTACATGTTTCTACAACCTTCATGCATTTTTTTCCAAGAATTTTATATTGGATTGCAGATGCATTCCTATTATTTCCAATATGGTTTTATAAACGTTCATTTTAACATGTTGTACTCATAATGACAAATCCTTCCATAAGCATGAAACATAATTCTGCTCCTTCGACTTAAATATAACATATTATACTCAACTTCTTCGCAACAACTTACAACATTTTGGTTCAGATAATCTACATAACTTGAACAATTCACGACTCATGTAAAATTAAATTCATATACTTTAGATTATCACCACAAGTGCATAAACATTAATATCATTATAATCAACATTCAATTTTATGCATATAAATTTCATTTATTAATGCATGTGATAAATTATTAAAAACTTAAATCACCTTGAATATCTTGTGTGCTTCAGTTTTTTTTTCATTTAGAAATAAGGATCTTACTTCAATACACATTAACACATACATAATCCAAAGCACAGTTAATATAAATCTGGTAATAAAGAATAACATTCCATATTAAATACTATTTATTATTGAACACAAATTAATTAAAAAAATGTATGTACAAATATTGATAAGTTTATTTTTAAATAAATATCAAATAAAAAATTAAAAAATTGTAGAAAAAATGAGTAATCAATGTATTCAAATTCAAATTTATTAATTGAATTCATTAAAATCTTCTTAACCATTCAAACCAGATTTTTTTCTATTCAAATAAAAAAAAATGATAAGTTTTGACTAAAATTATGTATACTTTTTTATTATAATTTTATTTTAAAATATATTTAAATAATATTTATTCATGTCTTGAAACCAAAATAAATCAAGGATTTTTTAGAAAAACAATTCCGTTAAAATTTTCTTCAATATTCAATATTCAAACAGCAATTCATTGAAAGAAACAATACTATTTTTGCTACACTGATATTGAAAAAAGTATATGATAATCTATTCTTTTCTACTGTATTTATTGGATAATTATTACATTCATAAAAAGTCAAAACTGAAAGAGAATATATGAATGTTTTCAATTGAAGATATAGAAACTTTAGGTTGATAGCATGATTTTCTCATGTGATTTCAAAAAATGTTAAATGTTGTATATTTTTTATCGAAATTGAAAATCTATAAGCATAATATTTTCATTTCACTAAGCTCCTCAGTAACTGAGTATAGAAATACATAGGTTTTATCAAGGAGATATTATTATTTTAAGTCTTTTTTCCAATAAGTCAATGAATTGTTTCAATAATGTTGAAATAAATGTTTTTCTTTATGTTGATATGGTTTATAATTTACATATATTAAAAAAGGTGATATGGTTCAAACTTTATAATTTATCTAAAATTAAATATATATAGATACACTATTTATGAATTTTTTAATCCAATTGTACATGATTAATCTTAAAACTATATTCAAAATTATAAATAATGTCAAATATAGTTTTGAACTGTTTAAAGGGTATATTTTTTAAAATAAAACTATATGTTTCTTAAAATTAAATTTTTCATTGGTTTACCAATATTGTATTGAAACAAGTTTCACATAACAACAAAATAAAAATTCATCGAAAAATACATTTTTAAATTGTCTCGATTTTTATGTAAAATAGAATCAAAGACAAAATTAACAAGTAAAAAATATTCAGGAATATAAAAAAATGTAGAAATCTAAATCTAAACATATCGATCATGTATAATGTTCCATTTTATGATTAAAAAATATATTTTAATGTAAACAATCACTTTTAAAATATACCATACATATGATTTTAATTCTATGAATACAAGATAAGTTAAAAATTGTACAAAAAGAAAAAAATTTGTCAATATACTTTTTTGAATGAACAATAAATGAATTCAAACATGTGTATTTTTATCTTATGAGGCTTTGAATACTTGAACATAGATCACAATCATGGTAAGACAATATATGACATACAAATATGATTAATGAATGTTTGAACTTATACATGGCCAAATAGTCATTTAGATAGTAGTTATTTGTTTATAATTTACGTTATTTTAAAAAATATATATATTATTTTTTTGATGTGCACATCTTGAATTTATTTTGTAAAAGATTTAGGTATGTTGATTATATAAAATGAGGAGTACCTGCGCTGGAGTCAAGCTATGCAATCAAATTTGATGATTGTTTGGCCGAAATATTTATTATTAATTTGCTACAAATAAAAAATCAAGAAAATTTAGAATTCACTGATTTTTTTCCCAAGAATACACAAAATATTTTTCTTTATACAAGAATTGAAAAATACTATTTAGAATTTATTTTTTATGTATTAAAATCATGTAAGCACTTTTGTTCCTTAGAATCAAAAGTTTATTATGATTATATTAATAAATTAGATCAATGATTTTCTTACTTGCATATTGCAACCTTAAATTAATTGAATAAGCTTTTGATTTTTAATTTCATGAAAGCAATGTCATTTGGCTAAAATTGTTGGGGTTTAACTTGGCTTTGGGATGAACCCTTGGTTAATAAACTCGGATTGCATGCAAAGTTAGCTTTGGGTATATATACCTCGTTTTTCTTACTCTGCCCGGAGAACATTATCACATCTTTACTTCACACTGTGGAGAGATATTTGCTTGATGGGACCCCATCAAAACGTAAATTGCTTGATGGGACCCATCAAGTTTCAATTTACCCAATGAGACCCCAACGACGGCACACCGTCGG